CCAAGCTGCCGGAGTGAATTATTTTGAATTACCTTTTACTGCAATTTTCATTTAAGCTGGATGGTTTCCAGTCTGGGCTTGCAGGGGATTGAACTGCTTTACCAGCTTGCTGTGTGATTATTGTGAAGCTATTTGCCCCTTTTCCTATCTTTACTACATTGATGATCTTTGACATTCATGACAGGAAATTATAAGATTACTAATGCCACAAATCTGATAGGATATTGTCCTACCATCCTTCTTACCATGATCTTATTTGTGGTCTCAGATTTTGTTTTATCTTCTTTCCATGCTGTACCAGTCCATAAAACACTATCCATATGCTGCTAGTGGGAACTAACCTGTTTGTTTTCCTAAGCCTGTTAAGATCCTATTTACAAACATGTGGGAAAGACCAGTAAGTATATACCACATTTGTAAGTACCAAAGTTTTCTCTTGTTTTAGTTTGATAACAGTGTTGAGGCCCTTAGGGAATATTCTTAGGGTGTAAATGCTGTTGTCTGCACTGTTCTCACCCTGCTGCCATGCCCTGTTCCCACCGTCATGTTGCATACACAAATATATCATCTCCTGGAATAGGAAGGTGAATTTGTGTATACTGGGGAAYGCAGACACTTCTTTAAGAGAGTTTGCTGGACTTCTTTCACAGAATTTGGCTGCCAGTTTCCTAGGGACCAGGTGACAACATTGAGAAATTAATAATGGTGAATTGAATGATTCTTTTCAGCTTCTGCTTCTCAACAGTCAGGCTAATTTTAAGTCTGGTTGGCAATAAAAAGAGATTTCTTTATAGCATCTTAGTGATGCTGAGTTTATCGACAGCTTTCATGTCAACTTTAAGAGTGCAGCCAGTACCCGTGCCCAGTTTCCAGCCTTTACAGTGGCACAACAGAGCCCAGTTGAATAGTGCAGTCAGTAATGTCAGTAATATCCATTTTTTTTCTGACCTATAGGGAGAGGAATTATAAATGCAAGAGCAATCCCTGACCCCAGGGGCCAGGGAATGACAGCGTTGTCCTGAGGTCAGCCCTGCGCACAAGAAAATAGCACCCGTAGGTGACAAGGCGTCTTGAAAGCCRCATTTGCCCACTGGCCTCTGAATAGCTCTATTGTACACCACAAGTATTTGGGCTCTTTTCCAGTGTCATGTTGCTGCTTTGGAGCGTTGTGGAGTTACACGGCAGCTGGCTCCGGCGCCCGTCTGGAACCGGGTTCATGGTCGATCTAATAACAGCCTTGTGAGAGCGGCACTCCGCTCGCTGGCAGCCCTCAGCGGCGGCACGTGGGAGCTGGCAGCCGCCACCTCTCCTGAGGTCTGGCATTCCCACTGGAAAGCTCCACATGGGCTGAGAGGTTTCTCCTTGTTTCCTGCAAGGTGTAGTGCCTCACAGTGATATGAAGCTATTTTATATCCTCAGGTCCCTATAGGATGACCTTTATTTTTCTCTGCTTTCCCTATTGTTCCACACTACTTGAACACTATACACGCTACACTTGCACATCCTCAGGAGCTATGAGTGAGACCGGCCTGAAAGATATTTGCTGCCTAACTTGGTAGGTATCCTTTGAGGGAAGGGAAAAAATATTTTACTTCCTAGGATGCAGAGAGAAGGAATTTATTTGTGCTTTCTGAAACACAGAGGGGCTGGTGGACAAGAAGACTTGAAAGGGATGTATTTTAGAGTCCGGTGAAAACAGAAGTTTTAATTTCCAGATAAATATTGGTTATTATTTGTTTCTCTCAACAATCCCTCCTGTATTTTCAGTTGGGCATTCCATGAGCAACTCAGTCTTTAATGTCTCTGAGTCCTCAGTTCTTCAGGGCAATGAGCACTCATCTACTTCCTGGGTTCAGATAAAGCATCTTTCATTTTGTCTTAGACTCCACACCTGTCAAACACCTTTATCAGTTGTTCCCAGTATTACTGATATTATTCTGGGCAGCAGCATGTCACTCATCTTTGTCCTTTTTCTTCCAGTGGTATAAAATTGTGGATTTTTTTCTTTTTTTTTTGTTTAACTCTGTTCTTATTCTTGTGATTTGACAAGGTTATTTGTCTTGAAAGACACTATTCCTAGTTACCTTCCTTGTGACCTATTCTGAAAAAATGAAGGTAGAAATTTGTGTTAATGCTTTCTTTGCAGGTTGCCATGTCTTTCCCTGTGGTGCCACTCAAACCACACATGTTCTTTTTTTTGAGATTTGATCCTTTCATATRGTATATAGCTCTGTGCTTTCCTAATAGACTTTTTATTTTCAGATAAGGTAATGAGGAGTTACTGAATCAAGATTTATCTCAGTTCATACCTCATAACTTCATCAATATTCTTCTGTTGAAAAATTGCCAGTCGAAAGCATTAAACGATACCACTAGTAATGACAAAGAAATCCAAACCTGGTAGATACTAATAAGCAATATCAGCATGCTCACATGTACGTTTTAGATTTCTCGATGATCGGAGGATTGCATATCCCATAGCTCCCAAAAGATGGAGTTGTTTATGGTACACATTAGAGCAAGGCACTTTTATTTTGTATTTAGTGAGTTAGATGTTTCTATTTCTACTAATAAACTTTAAAAAAAAAATGCAATTTTGTAATTGTTTTCCACCTCRTTATGGCAAGTGCTGCCTTTGGAAGGCGAGGGCCGGGGAAGGCAGCAATGGTTTCCATCTGTGTTGACGTTGGCGACGCAGCCCTGCCCGCCCCAGCTGCTCCGGCAGGGTCGGATTCAGACAAGCACCATTTGTGTTTCATTTCCTTTTTTCTTTCTTTCGGAATAACATTTTGTCTAAAAACAAGCACTTGCCCCCCTCCCCCTGGATCTTTACTGGCACCTCTTCTTTGGTTCTGGATAAAAGAGAGCTTCAAAATCTTGTTCTGCTGTGTCAAACTGAGATGAGAAYGGCTCTCAAGGCAAATATTTCCTGGGTGAATTAGGTTTAATAACGATAGGAATTTCCTGTATCTTAGTGCACCTGACGGGGAAAGTAGTTGGAGATGAGACCACAACATTAATATATATCTGCCTTTGGAAGGGGCGGTGGGAAGCCGCGCTGCCTCCGGATTCACAGCGTGCTGACAGTTTTCCAATATTAACCAACATCTCATATTATTTAGTGCCCCTCATGCCTGTTGCGCAGCGGCGGGTAAAACGGAAAGATTCATGTGTTTTGTGACAACGGGCAGGTTTACAGTTTGCCTTTTTCAGCAAAATCGTGGGGAAGTTGTGCTAAAAGCCTCATATTTTCATTATTCTAGTTCTTCAGCAGGTGATTTCTGTAGCAAAGCTGCTCTGTGAGGAAAACTCATTCAGATGAGTGCGTGTGGGAGATAACAGTAATTGTCAGCTCTTATTTGCAATTGAGTGTGGCTAATAAAAAGTTGGATACATGATATGATGTAGAAGTTATGTTAGTGTAAATCTCAGTGTGACCGATTTTTTTGTGTTTGGTCCAAATCAGCTCACTGTTTGTGAAGAAACTGGTAATTTTACTAGGAGGTCTCTTAGGGCTAGATGAGCATTTTTTCACTAACCTCTTACCTTTCTGCATGTGTCTGTAATACTCAACGTGCAAACACTTTCAAGGCTGGAAAACCTGCCTTATATAAAGGTAACCTGGACTGTTTTCTTCCTTAGGTGCTTCTGTCTCTTCCCTGAGTTTAGACTGGATGAGTCCAACAGAGTTGTCTCTGTTCCATTTACAGTTACATTTACCTCGTTTTATGAAAAAGAGAAAGATATGTTGAAAACTGTTGCTGCAAATGTGAGGCTATTGCTTGCAACTTGTATTTTTGTCATCATACAATAAACCACTAATCCTGGGAAAAGGCTTAAGTGTTTCCTTCACTATGAAAATACAGAATGAAAACCTAGTGGCAAATATGAATGGGTTCTATAAAATACAGTTGTTTTGGTACTTGTTAAGGAAACAGAACAGCAAAGTCATATGGTGGAAGTCATACAGTACTAAAATTACTTTGTTATTATATCAACATACCAGCAGTCAGTCAGTTTTGAATTTAAAACAGGTTTATATTTAGAAGCATTTTAAAGTTTGACCTGGTATTTGAAATATTTATTTTATCGTATAATAGTTTCGCGATGTTCTGAACTATTTGTTAGTCATAGCTCAGATTTCAGTATGTAAAGTTAGCTTTATAAAAATTAATGTTTATATAAAGAATGGATCAGTCCTTAAAATTAAAATGTATCACAAAAAGATGGACTGTGTTATGTATCCTTAATCTCTGCCAACTCATGCCATTTAAGTCTTGCTTAAGGGAGTTCATATTTGTTTAATACTGTAATAGAAATTGTTTAATAAGTAAACACTAATAAATGTGCCTCAATAATGTAAAATGGCCTGTCTGTGGAAGTCTCTTTCCTACATAGATTTCTTAGGTTTCTAGCTCTAAAACAGAGAATTTTATCTTTCCAATATTTTTGCCACTTACTGCTATTGTAGAAAAGACTTTTTAATGTAATTGCTGTCTTGATTTTGCGATCTTTCGCAGTGGCAAATATAATTTGCCTGTTCATATACCCACAGAGGACTTGGTTGGAGTGCACACAGTGCAGTGCTGCTTCATTATCATCAGTGGAGGGAAAAAAATGGCAATAATGATGCATTTCAAGATGTATTATTATGGTGTGAAGCATGATTAAATCACTTCATTGCTCTCCAAATCTCAAGAGCTGCTCAGTGTTGTTTAATTATAGCAGCAGAACAGGAGTTTGAGATTTAGACTAGTTTCCCTTCTAAAAGATGCTGCTCTGCAGAATATTTCTTACTTAAGGGACCAATTCACCCCTCAAGAGCCTTGCCTTTAGATACAGTTAACAGAAGAGATTGAGAAGCCATTAAGGTTATAAGGATGGTAATATCAGCACTGATAATGAGCAGATATTGTGAGCCAGTTTGCTTTAGCACCTTGTTGTCTTTAATCATCTTTGTTTATTTATTTATTTTTTTTCTTCTCTTTTTCTTTGTGTAGCCACCAGATAATGGGCCTCCACCATTACCAACATCATCCCTTCCAGAAGGCTATTATGAAGAGGCAGTGCCACTTAGTCCTGGAAAGGCTCCCGAGTACATCACTTCCAGTGAGTAGATTATGTCCAGGTCCTTTTCTGAGTAACTGCTAGTTCCAGTGTCCTTCACGATGCTTAGCATTTGAGRGCTGCATCTCTCTCAGTGTGTTGGTGGTTTGCAGTAAGGGTGGTTTGGACCATTTTGTCCGTTGGCAATTGTCTTCACTGGTCATACATTGCTTTGGTCTGTGAAGGTGTTTCACTCTGCAGAAACCAGGTTCCTTTTTTGAGGAATCTAAACCTAGAACTCCACCTTAGGTTGCACATCAAACCTGATACAGTCCCAGCTGGGGACAGAGAGTCCCAGTCAGCAACTCGACCTTTGGAGAGCTTTGAATGGTACATGCAGTTCAGTTTAGTACAGATCTGCAGATCTGCTGATAACTTCCTATTGCACTGAATTAATTGTTAAAATAGGTAAAATTCTAGAGGAAAACGACAGCTCCTCTTCTAAGGTGAGGAATACAGAAGGTGTGATTTGCAGCATTTCTAATGACATATTATAGACAAAGACTGACCATTCATACTGGTCCCCCAAGYTGTGTTTGATGAACGTGACAATATTATTTGGCTACTCATGTAGTGCAAAAGGCAGGGGCTACCTGCTAAGATCACCAGAACTTCTTGCTGCAATGTGCAAATGCTCCTTGTCACCTCCAGCTGCTTAGCCAGAGACTAACTCTTCATAAGCAGTGGTAAAATGAGAGCACCCTGGTAGAATGATGAAGTGACTGCTGTGAGCGTACATGGGGTCAGTGAATAGGACATTATGTACTGAAAAAATTGCAAACATTTTCCTGTTTTCCACTCTTTTTTATTGGCTGAGGTAATTTATTACTTGTGTATGTCTCGTTWATTACTGATAGTTATTTTTTGTGACCCAAAGATGAAAGGGAGATCTGCCTGCTTTTTATAGATGCTTTTATTATTTGAACTGGATTGAAAGAATAAAATAAAATCTCAGTTCTTAAAGCACATGCATAAGAGATACTGTTGAGCATTAAGTATTAAATCTTTACCTTGTGTGTCGTGGCAAGTTGTTTATGATGTGCATTAGTTCTAAACATAAAAAACAAATTGGAGTATCTGTCAGGTTCTTAATTTACCTAACAAATTCAAGGTAAGAAAGAGTTCCATATAATGTAAAATAAATGAAGGAACATGTAGTTTTGCAAAGCAGCAGAATCATTCCTGTCTTCATTTCCTCCCCTGAAATGCTGCAGGGTGGTCCTGCTACACCCTGTAACCTGGTGAACTGCTGATTTGTGTTTGGTCATTAAACAAGAGGCCTGCTTAGGCAGGAAGATATTAATAGCACTGTTAAAGGATTGCCTAGGAAAAAAATATGTAWCAAAATATGAAACTGATCTTTTATTTGCTTAGCAATCCAAAACCACAAAAATATTTGTAATATCAGACTTAAATGTTCATTAATAATTCCATATTTTAAGTATATATTCTCAAACAAATATAAGTTTTTTAGTGTAATTCATAATCTGTTTTGCCATGATTTTGCTCTATTTTACTGCTCTTTACTTCATATTAAAATTCATTCTCTCTTCATCTGTATTAAAGTTCCTATAAAATTCAATATCSTATTCATAATACATCTCAACACAAACAAAACTTTCACTGTCCAGTTTATTGTGCTGAGGGGTTGTGAATAATATTTTGATAGGCAATTAAAATAAATCATCAAAACACTATATAAATTAAAGATGGAACCTACAGTTTTTCAGACCTGTTGTGATTGAGAAGGTCATAACGAAGACGTTCTTAAAATGTAGGACACACAAGAGTAAATTGTTAAATAACTGTTGAGCTAGATATAATTGTCTTGAGTAAATACTCAGAGTATTTTTCTAATGTCATTAATTGCTATCAGGTGTGCATCCTGTGTGTTCTATTAATGAGTAGTAATATGAGAAGTACTTAAGGTGCAGCTTTTTTTTTTTTTCCCCCCTCCTTCTTGAAGTCTCAATGGTCACTTCCTGCAACTAATTTTTAGGAAAGTGATAAAACTTCCTCCAAGTRAAAAATTGTAAAACTGAAAAAAAAAGTTTTAAAAAAGTAAAAAAATTGTAAAACTGAATGTTGTGAAGAAAAAACGATGGTTTAACCCAATAATCTTGCTGAAAGAAAGGTGAGATGATTGTTGCATGGAGTTTGAGATAAGAAGAAAGCAACTTTATTGTATAGTAGAGATGACTGATAATTGTATGGAGTTGCATTCAGTTCAAACTTTTTTTCCTGCAATATGAGAAAGTGAAAWCATATTCTAAGAAAGAAAGATAAATGGTCTGCTAATACAGTGAAGACATATGGAAAGTCTTATTTGGAAGGCTATATTAAGGCAGAAAAAGTCTTTGATTCCGATATGCAGACAGCCTTTATTCAATGTACACTCATAATACAGAGAAACTCAACTCTCAACAATCTTGATGAAAACTATATATGAGGAACGTTCTTTCTGTACATCCCTATTTCAAGTTGATCYAATGAAAATGAAACTCTCAGAAACTCTTATACCGGAAAAGTGGTTTCTTAATTTTGGAGAAAAATAATGGTGATTAAATGGAAAAGTGCTATCAGAACAGTAGTGTTGATCTCACTACTTGAGTTGAGATTTCTTACCTTCCTTTCTGCTTCTTACTAGTTCTCGAGAATTTTTATGTTTCATAACCACCATATTGCCAACATGAGAACAAAAACATAAATTATGTGAATGAATGTTTGTGACAATGGGCTTTGCTAGAACAAAGAGTACTATTAAATTCAAAGAAGGGATGAGGAAGATATTTTATGGAAACCAATGTWTTGCTTTCTTGAAAGGGAAGAGTAGAGGTAAGGATAAAATTTGTTACATGAAGACCACTAGTTACCAAAGGAGCAGAATCTTTAGGTTATGGCAGCTTTTCCCTTAGCCCATGTCTTTAAGAGACAACCTTCTTGAAGATGTTGATTTAATGATTAGATCTTGCATTTTCTTATTTGTTAACTTGGCTACATCTTCATCATTCAGCCTGCATTCAGACATCCTGGTGTACTACCGTATTTTTGACATTGCTCAGAGAATTCCCAAGCGTTTCTGAATGCATCTGTATGATGTCCTAGATACTTTCCCCAAACATGGAGAACAAGGGGAAATTGTTGTGTTTTTATTCAGCTTTTTTTTTTTTTTTTTTTCCTGCTACATAGTGAGAAGTCGGAAGAGAGAGAGTCAGGAAAACAAAAAACCTGTAGAATAGCTGCTTCAAAATTATCAGGTTAATCATCTACCCTAAATTTCTCCATCCTTTCCTTCTTTTTTCCTAAAGTGAATTAAAAAAAAATACTCCCATTTGCCTTTGTAATGAAGATGAAAAAGAGTAAAACGTTGTGTAAATATGCAAACTGTTTGTAGTCTTGGTTGAAGGGATGTTGAGTTTTGGGTGTGTTGTGTTCTGACTCTGCTTGTAGGTAGATGCTGATTTCAACTCTTCCAAGTTTCCCCAGATCTCCCTGCTGCATCCCAAACTGTGCTCTAACTGCCTAAAGTAAAGCAAGCAAGAGAATTTCTTCCTTTTTTTCTGGTGTAAAAATATATGAACATCTCCTTAAAGTATATGAACAAAATTTCCACTTTTGAAAATATTTCTACTGAAAATTTTCTGGTTTTAATTTCCTGTTGAAAATATTAAAAATATCAACTCTCCTCCATGGGAGTATGTGCTCCCAGGGTGTTTTGCATGCAGTTGAGTAGCAGGCTTGCCTTCAAGCGTTGTTTTCTGGGGGCTTTCTGTACATGTGTACATAAATGCATACATGCATATATGTGTACTTGTATCTATATTCATTAAAAATATAGATTCTGTGGCATTGACATTCTGTGGCAATGACAGATTAGTTTTGTAGTCAAAGTCACTGCTACAGAAGTGACTGCTTTATTGAAAATGAAGGGCCTGACCAAAGACCAAAGACCATTTAATTAGAAAGGAATCTCACCATTACATCACTTGCTTGGAGCCGGATTAAGTGTTCAGGCTGAGCACATAACAAGAGAGTTTCTGCCGGATGCTTTTAACTCAAGCAGAGACGGCATGTTAAGAAGAGAATCATCTATTCAGCATTAATCACTGCATATGCTGTATTTYAGGGGTTTATGAAATCTTGTGCCTAGGGCTTTACTTTTGGGACCTCTGTCATATTCAGTGTTTATTTCTTAATATGCTGTATTAATACTTACATTTTTGGGCATACATGGATTTTGTGCTAAGCAGCAGGGCTGGATTACAGTATTTCTTCTATAAAAGAATCACAAAAGATGATGGGACCAACCAAACGATGCGTTGAAGATGTTGAAGCACTGTGTAAAATTCTGTGTATTTTTTCTTGTTCATTTGTTTAACTAAAATGTACAAGGTGTCAATATTGATCTTTTATAAAATTTCGTAATGAAGCAACTTGGCCTTGTAGCATCTGGTATTCAACAAAAAATATTTCGATATTGCTATGGGCTCTAACAGTCATTTGCCTTTAAAAGCCTTAAAATGAACTCTTCAAAAATTGTTATTTCATTGTTTTTTTCATTGCTATGTGCTTTAACTTGGCACTTTTATGCTTTCCTTAAAGATTATGACTCGGATGCCATGAGCAGCTCTTACGAATCCTATGATGAAGAGGAGGAGGATGGAAAAGGGAAAAAAATGAGACATCAGTGGCCTTCTGAGGAGGCTTCTATGGATCTCGTGAAGGATGCCAAAATCTGTGCCTTCCTCCTTAGAAAGAAACGATTTGGGCAATGGACAAAACTTCTGTGTGTTATCAAAGAAAACAAACTACTGGTAAGTTTTATTTTTATCTAGCCATATTTCCTTTGTACCATTTAGATGATGTATTTATTTCAACAGGAAACTTTTTTTGTAATATTYTGCAAATATCCAAGAATCAGACAACCACTGAAATGGTAACTGTATCATATAGCCATTTGGGACTTTGATTTTTATTGCACTTCAATTCYGGCCATTCCCTGACACACAAAAGAAAGTCTGGCCTATTAGCTTCTAGTGTATTTCATTTGGAAAAAAAAATTGCTGAAACTGTAAATCCAATCTCTCAATCCCCTTGGAGGCAAAAATCTCATAGGGAGCTTTTTGTATGAACTGTTGGATCAGACCGTTAGAGAGAAAAGTCCCTTGTTACGCTGAGAATTCACTTGGCAGCATATGCTGCTGTAATGTATACACTTTAAACTAAACCTTCGCCATCTGTTCAGCAGTAATTACAGATGCAGTATTCACATGATGCACAGCTGCATTATAGAAAGGAAAGAAACAAGTGGATATATTTGTTCCTTTAGTAAATCTGTTATGCTTTTTTTTTTCTCCTGGTCATAGACACCAGAAGATTCCATACATTGGTAAATTATCTGCTTATAGATGCGCTTTTGTTTTTGAAAAGGAGAGTCTAATTGACAGCAACATTCGTTTCTGTGTCACTGTAAGACTTTATAAGACTTCTAAGTAATGGATAAATTGGTGTCTTAGACTCTCTCAATCTTCCAAGCTGATGCTTGCAGTTGTTGTAACTGATTGTGTAACTAATAATTATTGCAATAACCCAGATGTTAAAAGATCATTAACAGGTGGTGACCATTTTCTGCAGAACATCCCTATTATGCTGATGCACGATAACTTTATCTGTGTTAACTTTCCAAATGTATGTATGTGTATGGTCGCATAGGAAGTAACAGCATATGAAATAGAGGTAGCTAGATAAGAGGTTTCTTAAAATATAGTTGGATTTCATTTGGGAGTTTTCCATGATTKCTGAGGATTTTTATAATGTTGATTGTGACTTGATTTTATTAGATTTGTGATGCCATTATTCTTAGTCCACATTAATCTCACCGTAAATTGGAACCATATCAGATTTCAGGAGCCTATGATAACAGTCTGAAGTAAAGGAAGAAGGAAGGAACGTAACAGATTTTCTCAGAAGAAGTTGCACAGTATTTCTTCTGGAATTATGTTTGTTGTTCCATATAAAAACGTTATTTTTTTTCCATTTCCTTTAACCACATGGGTGGTCTTAAGAGCTTTGTTATTTAAMTCCTATTGTGATTTTCATTTCCTTAATCCCCATTACAGAATTACTGAAAAACAATCTCTATAAAGGAAAAAAAAAGTTACCTAAGATTAGTTTATGGTTTTAAAGAGGACTTACAGATGTAACTTRCGCAAGTAAACTATATGTAAGTAAAACAAATATATGTTCCTAGGGATTAGTAATTGCCTATGGCATGAATACAGAATACAGTGATCATAGGACCAAAATATTTTAATTAGAATTACATACTAGAAATAACTCTTAATAAGGAATTACTATCTACATAAAGTTATTTAATATATAAGTATATAATTTTATATGTTTATATATAAAAATTTTAGTAGTGTGTAATTTTAAGTAAAATCTTTAACAAGAAGTAAAGGGAATCATATGCTCTGTACGGTTCTTAAAGTGAATAATGATATATTTTTACAAGGTTTCATGGCTTGAAAACTTAACTTTTTTACTATTATAAACTTGTTTAAGTTGGTGGCTAAGCTAGAGGAAATTTGAGCCAATGGACTTTGGAGAGGGAGGAAGGATGATAGAAAGACTGGTTGAGAGTGGCTGGATTTGGTCAGCCTAAATTGGCGAGTTGGTTATTCACTTTTAACAGCTACTGTGTTTCTGGATGTTACACCATGAAATGAACACTGCCAACAGCCACACAAGAGCATGTGGGCTTTTTTTCTGCTTTTCTTACGTTTGTGCTCAGCTTTCTATGTATGCATCAACCAATCAATCTAATATCAGGCACCTTTTTAGCCTTCATGCTTATTTGTCTGAGCAAAACCCAGTTATATATGTATATGAAGTAACTGGACATTCACCTACACGATTTAACATTATTCTGCAGTTTGGCACTAAACAGCATCTTTAGGGAGCTGAACTCTACTGAAATAATAGCTGGGAATAATAGCTGGAACTGTCACTGCTGGAAATAAACCCTGAAATGCCAAGCCCACAGTCAAGAGGACATGTGAGCTCCTGGGCTTTCGTCTTTAACTGTGCCAGCATATTCTGCTGCCACATGTGAACATGTATCCCAAACAGTTCTCTGCCTATTTGATCAATGAATATCAAGGTTGAGTCATATGGATAACATAGAGCAAGTTAGTATCCTCCGTATGTTATACCTGTCTTGCAATAAAAGAATATAAGTCTGGAAGTAATTTTGTTCTGCAAAGGGGTTGAAGAGGAGGAATGCAAGTTAGCGTTGGCTAAAATTTGTGGTATGTCATAAAGGGATGCATGAAAARTATATTAAAAAATGTAATTTCTGTATAGCAACAGCTTTCCCAAAATGTTCAGAAAGGTGAGATTTAACTTGCATTCTTTGTATTTATTTAGTGTTACAAAAGTTCCAAGGACCAGCAACCTCAGATGGAGCTGCTGCTGAATGACTGCAGTATCACATACATCCCCAAAGACAGCAAAAAGAAGAAGCATGAGCTGAAGATCGCTCACCAGGGAGCGGACGCGCTGGTTCTAGCAGTACAGAGCAAAGAGCAGGCGGAGCAGTGGCTAAAGGTAAGGTAGGGCTGCTGGCCTGAAGCTTGTCCACTGATGAAAGTCCTTTTGTCAGGTCAATTCAGATTGAAAACTGAGATTCAAATAGAATCTTTTAGCCAGTTCCAGACCATTTATATCCCATCTAAACTGGAGCTGCAAAAATTGGGGATTTAATGTCCAGGAAGCTGTAAGCATCTCCTTGGGCAAACAGCAGGTCAGTACTGCACAGCTGCTGCTGGTGCAGGTGCTTCTCATTCCTGGTTGCACAAAACTCAGGAGATGTAAATTCCTCCCCCTTTTCATGTCTCCATCTAATTTTGCAGGTGACTTTGCTGGTTAGGGCATGTGCTCAGTGAGCTGCAGGCTCAGGTTGCTCTTGGATGGGGGTATATCGGTAGCAACCAAGGCTTCTATGAAGAAATTGGGCATTGCACCACCACAGTCACCGTTTTTAAAGGGTGAGGAGATAGATACTTTCTCAAATGACTGAATGGAGAAAAAACCCCCAGCTTCTGGTTGCTAAACAAAGTCTGCTAAACCTAGTTTAGCAACGTATTATCTATTAGGGTTTATTTGGGAACGTAGACTTCTGAGAAATGGGATTTTGTCATCTTCTACTCCTTTCTGTTCAGTGTCTAAAAATGTGGAAAATCCCAACACAAGTGCTACAGTTTGAGATCCTAACCAGATTACAAGTATTTATGTTGGACTTTGCCAGTCTCAGATGTGGAGGTCAGTGAAGTAGTGTGGGAAACTACCACTGCAGTTTCAGTGGCTTGTGTTAAAGCCTTAAATCCAGCCCTTTAAATGCATGTAAAAGCCTAAATGCATAAGACTCATCAGACATTTGCTTTGCTGTGCTCTGTTCTAACCTTATATGGTGCTTATTTTGCTAAGAATAAATTGTGTTTTTCTAAACACAATTGAATTAAACACGTAGGAATTTCCTGATGACAGATAGTTTTTCTGTAGAAGACAGAGAAGTAAAGTGCAGTTTAAGAGGTATGAGATCTACTAAAGACTAATTCAGACAATGGAAAATTAATCTGTAATTTCCTATTTTGTAATATTTGAATGTATCTTTGGGAGTTTTGCTGGGCGTGTGTTGTTTTTGACTGGTAGTTTGTATCTTAGAAAATGCAGTGTTGTCTTTTAAATAGAAAATGAAGACATTCATGAATTTTGTGGGCTTTTTCTAACATCATTACCTTGTTTTATCTAACACCGTCCAAGTGTTCTGTTAACTCACCTAGTGTTTCAAAAACACTGATTGCARTGAAATGACATTCACAGGTCATATTCTTTTCCAGGGGAATTCCACTGCAGTTAGATCATAGTAACTGCCCCTTTATTTCCTGCCTTGTTCTAAACTTGGATTTGCTAATGCTGAATACATTGGCACTGACCAGACTTTCTTTCATTACAAAATTTTTCTTTTCTTATTTAGACAGAAAGCATTCCCCACACAGACAGACAGAGCACTGCTACATTTGTATTCCGTATCGCAGAGGCATTCCTGCTACCACTTCCAAAATAAAAAAGATTTTTGTATCTTGCACGTTAGCAAAACTCCTTGTGCTGAGGATGAGCAGCTGGCCAGCGAGCTGTCTGCGAGATTTTTGGGCACAGGCCGACAGTGTTTCACTTAGTCCCTTCCTCCAGTGCAAGGCTATTAGTGAAGCTTTCAGGTAGGTGGCAATGCCACTGTGCACCCAACATCCAGCCCCTCCGTGCTKCTGAGCACTCCCATTCTGTACCGTACAAATTGCCTTCCCGCCAACAAACCTAAAATAGTTTATGCAGTTCTTGCAAAATGCTCCGAGGCTTTCAGAAAGCACAGCTTTTCAGCAAAAGGCTGAGGTTTTGCATTTTTAAATAGACATCACAATTCAAGGCGTTTTTATTGTAAAAATAATTATCTTTTTGCTCATTCAGCCCTCACTTTGAGTGAGCCCTGGCAATCATGTGTGGATTTGTGTAGGAWGTGACCACACCGTGTTATCTTGGGAGTTGTGGTTGGAGCCTTTCCTGCCTGTCAGTCGGAGGTTTGCTGCCACCCAAACTCTGTCAGCGACGTGTGCTTTCTGCAGTTAATAAAATGGGTAGATTTAGAGTCTCTGGCAATTGAGGAAGGTCTCTGCAGCTGTTATTTTGAATCATAACAATCATAACCTATCAAAGAAAGGTTCTATCAGAGCCAGGCTCTCAGGCCGGCACAACAGGTTCTCTTGGAGAAACGTGTGTGTAATCGTCAGGTCAAGGCTTCCTGCCCAAGCCTGAATGCGTCAAAATGCCTGTGGAAGTCAGAGCCACTCAGGAGATTTTCCCAGGAGAGCTAAATAATTTCTGAAAAACAGTAACATGTAGTCGATATAACAGATGCTTACTTTGCAGACAATTCTGAAGTATCAATTGGAAGACAAGAGATATTAAAACAAAAAGAGCTGAAAGAAATGCAGAGTATTTTAGACTTTTTTTTTTTTTTTTTTTTTTTTTGGTAAAAACAGCTGATAAACCTAGTGTAAATTGAAGTCTAGACTGCAAACCACAAGGGAGTTTCAGGTTTACCAGCTAACAAATGCTTGATGAAAAAGAAGATAGCTGATGTCACCAAAACTCTGTCAAGATTGCAGAGCATCAGGCGTAACCAGTGCAAATTCCAGGCTGCAGCTGAGATCATAGCAGTAATACAGTGTGCAACATAAAGTGGTGGAAATTTCCAGGCTAGAGTCCTGAAATATACCCGCAAAAATGTACATGAAAAAAAATGCATGCAGTTAAACACTGTGACCCAAACATGAGGTCTTTCCATGCCTTCTTGAATATATGTGCATCTGTGTGCACTTTTGTGCCTCTGTGGTCAAGTAAGGCTTTAAAGCCTGCCTGTTTGCCTCAGCACATCCAGCACTGAAACTAGCTACTTATTTATCAGCATCCTTGGGAAAACTGCATTAAATATAAAGGCCTGCTAAGAAGATGACATTACAAGAAGATACTTGTTTACTGGCTTCGTTCATGCAGATGAATGTGTTCTGTGTGCGGCACCTTCAAGCTAGGCCACAAAAAAACTTTAAATGAAAAACCAATGGATACCAGGGAAATGAAGTTTTAAAGTAGCTGCTTGTAGAAGACCAGCAGAGGAATGAAATGATCATAGTGTCCATCCCCAAGGCCGTCCCCTCGTCCTGGCACTGCCTTCTGCATTCAGGCGTTTCTGATGTTTTGCCATGTTACGTGCAATAAGGACATCCATTGTTTTGGAATAATTCATTTTCTTTTTYTTTTCTTCTTAATGCTGTCTTCCCTTTATTAACTTTTCTTTATTTTCCTCTTTATTATGCAGCCGTGGTGATATTCCTTATAAGACTGGTAACACAGTGGTCCTGCCCACTTTCCATCTCTGATAAGCACATGTTGCCTTTAGTAAAAGCCTCTGAAGCTTCATTTTTTTCCTGCCCTTAGCTTAGTGAGTGGAGTTGAGGAGCTTCTGGACTCCACTCTTCATGTGGACCACATTTTATCAAGGAAGAAACTCCTGCCAGAGCTATTAGCTCACCAGTTTAAATTAACAGAAAAATGACTTTGTAATTGTAAACATTATGTGGCTAGTTTTACTTCCTATGGGAATTTCCAGCTAAAGATCTTAAGACACTTAGAATATTAAATAATGTTCCCTAAAGAGGTTATTATCTCCATTTTATAGCAGAGTAAAGTCAAGTGCTGAATGATCATTCTTTAAAACTTACTGGAAAAAATGSATTTGGGGATGTGTACTCTCTATAACTGATTTCCATGCAGTATTTGTTCAGTAACACACTGTATCCTAGGACAGATGGGCTGGGTCCCTTCTGTACCACACATCATCACGAGCAGTAAAGGCTTTGCAAAGCAAATCGACCCTCCCAGGAGCTGTTTCTCAGGCATGAATTTTCCTTTAAGCTTGTGGCTAAAATCACAAGTTCACAAATCTCAGCACAGAACTGAGCAGGGCTGACACTTGGTCCCCAGCTTTAACCTTTAGCTAGTTTTTGCTTCCCCGTGCAGGTTCCCTTCTTTCTGAGCTCGTGGCTTGAGCTGCTTTGTCCCTGTTACTTGCAGGTTAGAAGGGTCCTTAAGTTGTGCCCGGTTGGGGTTTGCAGCCTCAGGCGCTGGTCTCCTGCAAGGAGCATCTCTCCCGTTGGAGCAGCGGTGCCTCCAGCTTGGGCTGGATGTGGCCAAATAAGGCAAAACACTTATTGGAAATAACGCAGGAGAGAGGGTGCAGGGGCTCTATTGGTTGAGTATGTCAGAGAAGAATTTTCAAGAAGATATACAGGACTAAATATAGGTCTTTTTAAGGGGATATCTGAGCAGGAGGCTGCTGGCTGCCAGAAGCTCACCCCACTTTGCTCAGATAAACAGCAATAAGGAGGAAGATGAAACTTTTCAGGCGAGGGAATTCTTGAGAATGACGTTTTCCAGTGCACAGGATGCAGGGAGTTACTTTTTAGGACCCACAGTGTAGGTTATGTGTRCAACGTCTGCTTTGCCTCTAGTTCTTGTGGGTTGCTTGGCTGTGAACTCCTTGGGACGTCTTCTGCTTTTCTGTAAAGTGCTAGCAGAGCTTTGATGCTCTGTAAAGGAGAAGGCTCTAAGTGGCCTAGTTAAATACATGTAGTACATGGGGTCCAGAAAAGAGACAGGATAAGACCATGRTCATGTAGGAATGATGAAAAGTCCCAGGAAGTCACTGCTTCTYGGGCACTTGCCAAGGAGTGTTACAGGAGTGAAAAATACTGGGTTCACTCTGACACTAGTCCTTTTCCTTCTGTTTTATTGTCTATAAGCAGATTTCAGCTTTGCTGTATTCCCTTTTTTCAAAGACGAGTGGCAAGGTCTTCAGTTCTTCCCACTTCCCAGTATGTGAAACATATTGGTAGATGGGATGTATCAGTTTGTTGGTTAGATTTTTAGCTCTGATTCCCAGAGAAATGAAGCAACTGTGCAGTCACACCATCAGTGTTCTCCCAAACCACTGTAGAACTCATTAATTTTTGAGCTTAATCCTTTCCTTGCTTGGTTTGGAAGACAGCAGCAGTCTCAAAGGCATTAAATTCCTACGAGTTTTGTGAAATCAATCACTGGGCAGAAGAGAGGACACTATAGTCATGTCCCTACAGTGCGCAAGGCTCTAACCTGAACTCATCCCATGGTATCCAGCAGGAGAGAGATTTACACATTTCTCAAATGCAAGAAGAGTTTCAGGCACTCTTATTCCTTGTTAGGTAYGAGACCTAACAAGGAATAGGCTGTATTTGAGGTCTTCTGCTCAGGATTTGCTGGATTCCTTTGTGGCAGGTTGGGCATAGCAAGAGGTCGTCTTCAGATTTTACTGCAGAGCCACTTTTTACCTTCAGGAGCCTCTGAAAGTAACTAGGAAATTCTTATGATTTGATCCTTAAGACTTCATATGTAAAAGAAATAAAGGTAGGGCAAGTATTTCGCCTCCAGTCATGCTGTGTCATTTAAAATAGAATGCAATAACTGGAGAAGTTTGTAGATGAGTGCAGGTATGAAGGTTTTATAGTAAAAGTTGGTGACTCTATAGCAAGATATTTTTAAAGAGAGAAAGATTCCAGACACACCACATGGCAAAAATTCCACTGACTTCACCCATCCTTGTCAACTGCCTAGGGCAGAGAATCTTTCCAGCCTTWTAACTGCAAATATTTCCCCTCTATTCCTCGTGTCACTGAAGTCAATGCAATACACATTTGTATATCCTCATCCATCTGGGGATTTAAGGTCTTTCTATAATATAAATATGGAAAAATAGTATAATTCAGACTGCACAAACATTTTCCAAGTTTGCATTCAAAAGAGGCAGTTCTGAAATCTAATAGTTGTAGTATTGTACTGGTAATTGTATTTAAAATTATTCTGATAGAATAACACAATTTTTATTTTAAATGTGTGTAGCTTTGAATTTTTCCAAAGAAATAAAAAATCTTCACTTTTCTGATTATGTTTGCCCATATATTTTAAATAGGTTAATATATATTCTGTCCACAGTCTCAGTTGGATTTTCCTGACAGATCGCCCTGTGTATATTACACATAAAAGTATTTATCATGAGAAAAAAAAGAATTATTTTCTTCTTCTTMCATTAGTGAAAATATAAACTAATAATGAAATTGGTCATTTTTCTTGAGATTTGGAAACACACCAGTAACATACTAATATACTCAGTAGAGCCTTCCTGCTTATGCTATCTTAGTCAATTGTAACACATTGAAATRTAGCACACTTTTATTTGCTTTCTAGCTGTAGAACTGTTGAGGTGTATTTATTCGTGTTTTGATACATTTCATTCTAATGGATAAAAGTTTACTCACCTCCTTTCCCCACTCTTACTCACAGCTTTTCTTCTTATGAAAATAATTTTTTTTTGTTAATTCATATGACTTCAGGAGATGGAACACAGGAAAAATGACAAGAACTATGAGTCTTGTGATTTAAATTATGCAAGTTGGCAGCAGCGGTGGAATGTTTTATCCTTAAAGTTTTGAGCTAAAGCTATAAGCATGTGAAAACCACATTTATAATGGCAGCTGTCTGCAAACGTAATTATAGAGAGTACATCCAGGCAACCATTACATATTAAAGCCATTTCATCCTGCAGAGCTCCGAAAAYCTGAGTTTTATGCTGTGTATCAAACACAATTACAGTGCATGTGGAAGGTGATGCACAAGTCTGCCAGTGAATCCCTCAAACCCAAATGAAGTGTTGAACTCTTGAATATGCATTTACTTGAGATCTGGCCATGAGCTTCCACTTGATACTCTGTCATTTTTCAAATCAAAATTTAATTACATCCCAATTAAACTCTTCAGGAAAGCTTTTCCTTAAATATGTGAGGTATGATAAGATCCGTATTTACTTGAGTGCATGACTTTGCACATACTACTCCATTATTGCTGCCAAATCATTTCCCTCTGTTCTGCCTGTAACTCCCATTACTATCTGCCTCTGCCAAAATTAACTAACTGTGTGGTGTGAGCAGATGCAGAAAACATGAGCCGTTGTATCAGGGTCATGCAGGAGACAGAAATGAACGTTCCCAGAAGCTCTACGGTCACATTTCTTTAGGAAGAAAACAGCAGTGAACTTCCACCAAGCTGGAGGACAGCAACGGGAGGGAAAGCAATCCCCATAAATGACTTCGCATGCATTTTAGGGCTAGGCTTTAGTCTGAGATGCAACTATCTACTTCTCTGCAATAAAATGCTGTGACRGATATAGCTCAATTTTCTCTTAAAAGCATGCCAAGTGCTATGAATTCAATAATAATGTGTTTGTGTTTCTGAGACAAGATACAGGGCAGTTTAGACAGTCAAGAAACAAGACTGAGGTGTTTTAAGATATTAGCTCTGGGCTAAAAAGGTGGGTTCATTGATTCCTTATGGGACGTGGGGCGAACAATTAAATCTTGGTTTTGTTCCCACATTCTTCTTCTGTCAAATGGGGCTGCTGCTTTGTCTTGCCATATGGGATGTAGTGCATTGAATTTATGATGTGCTCATGAATTGCAGCAACAGAGTCTTTGTAAGCTCATAAACATTTGATTTGTTTAGTTTTATTCTTAAAGGGAACTTTAGAGCTTGAAAGGAACTGTAAAATCACATTTGGTGCCATATTTAGGTCTGTAGCGGTTTCCGCATCAAATTGGTCCAGTTTAAAAAGAAGATGATGATGTTGTTTGGTGCTTTGCTTTGCCTCACTAATTAAAACAATTAGGATTTTGACAGCTGGAAGATTGCCTTTTTCCTTGAAATTCAGAGTTTTGCAGGTCAGATCCTTCTCTGCCAACCAGAGCTGAGATAAATAGTGTAAGGGAAAATCTGCATTTGTTAACATGATCATATAGATGTGTTGCAAGGCTTCTGGCAGAAGATGCSTAAAAGATGCCCAAAGACAGTCTGGCCCTGCCATTCCTACATCTCTAAGAGGTCTCTCAGTGGTGGCACAAAACCAAACGCTGCTCAGCATGAGGCTGCAGTGAGAGGTCAAGCCCTGTTCTCATCAGCATGGGCAATTTGGGGCTCATAATTGAAAGGTGGTAACCTCATTAAAGAAACCAACTTAATGGTGTCCCTTGAGAATCAGCAAAAGTGAATGTCCTTGCCTGTCACGGGGTCTTCTGTTTTATGCRGTTTTTGGTTTTGAACCCTTTTTAACAGTAAATTTTTCCAAGATTACTTTGACCTACACCTTTGGGCCAGTGTGCAAGTGTAATAAGAAATACCACAAAATATTACTGCCTAGTATGAGCTGTAAGTTGCTCAGTACTTGATTAGTTATTCAACAGCAAAAAAAAAAAAAAAAAAAAAAAGGAGAGAGCAGCTGGGTAGTGTATTATGCAAAACTCTTGTCCTTTGGCTTGCAGGACCTTGGATCCAATCCCACTTTTTGTCATTGTAATGAAATCAATTTGGTGGCGTGAGCTGAGTTCATGTTGCAAAGCCCCCTAGAAATTAGCAGTTCTGTTGGTTTCTTTGCTCAGGAGCTGCCTGGAGCTTAGTTTGCCTGGAAATTGAAACCTTCCACCTCTGGACATCCCATCTGCTCCAGGTTGTACATGAAAGGTCTGCGGGAGGCCAGCGGAGAGGCTCTGGTAGTGGCAGCCTGCCCGGAACGTTGCCTGTGGACAGAGATGTTCACACCACTTTTTCTTTTTTTTTTTTTTTTTTAACTTTCAGGCTAGTAAATATTTGTATGATTCTCAGTTCTCCTTCACATTCCTATGTAATCTCTCTGATTTGCATTTGTTGACTAATTAATGTTTTGATTTGTCTTTTAAGGTTATAAAAGATGTGTGCAGCAACTGTGCCGGAGCTGTGGACTCAGATGGACCGTTGTCTAGTTCTCCAGTGCACAAGACAGAGCTGGAAAAGGTGACGTTACCAAGAATGATTAATGCAAAGTTCCTTATGATTGTTTATTATTGGGCACCCCTGAACACCACATGGTTTGGGGCTGTTCAGATCACAAAATTGAAATTAAGTTTAGTTTCTGGACTTGATGCAACAACTTTTATCTTTTTACACCATTTTCTAAGGATTATTCTCAGTGAGTATCTGCTGACTTGTAGCACTGTTTAGCTTCTGTGACCTTTTCATTTGTATAACTTTCGCACAGATCCTAGAGATTTGAAGTTTCTGCTGTCTTATATTGCTTTGGTTAAGAAAAAACAGCTGACTGGCTTATGCCCGTTAACAGCTTATTTTTAATTCGTATACATTAAGAGCATATGATGCATGAGGTGTTGAGTGGAGATGATGCTCTGTCAAGTATGAAGAAGACACAGAGACGTGACACTCGTGGAAGAATGCCTGGACACTGTGAGGATGTTTTAAGGAAAAGTCTTCCCTTTTTTTTGTTGAAAATTCATTTCTTAAAGAGTTCCCTGGGCAAGCTGAGGTCGCTGTTTTGGCAGACCCTTCCAAGCAGGCACACTGTAACACACAGGAACTTGGCTATTTGGTTATGGTTCTCCTAGCTCCCTTGACTCAGCATGATGATACAACAAGGATGAGAAAGGACAGTATCTTTGAAGGGAATGAGCAGTGCGTTTCTGGCACCTATTTAAGCCCTTGCTCTGCAAAGGCACCCATGTGAGCAGACCTTATTGAAGGTCTAGTTTAAAAGTCCCAGTGGTTTTATCTCAAAACTCCTGTGGGCAAATTCTACCCTTTTAATTTAAGGACACTGCTGACAGTAGTATTAAATTATGTTACATCCAGGAAACTAAGAGCAAAATATGTTCCATGATAACTCTCATATTCTGGTTTCACAAGCCAAAAGCTGTTTGTTTCTGCACATCTGCACATTATTAGCCAAATAACTAAAAATGTCATAAAATAGTTACTTTCTGAAATGCATGCCATAAAAAAGTGATGTATAACAAAACTTCTCATTGGTTTGGGGAGGATAATCTGCATATCTTCTTCATGGCTTCACCACTTATGAGTAATGTGGTTACCACAACCGTGCCAGCATAAACTTTATACCACATCATCCCATATTTCTTATCCAACCATTACAGAATAATAGGTACTAAAAATTTCTTTCACAAATATCTGCTCTGCAGCTAGTGATTCCAGCACCATGTAGGAATGCACTGTTTTCTGATGTGTTGTAATTGTATGTGCATAGCTGAAGTATTTTTAAAGAAACAGTTTTTTAAGTTTGGCTTATCTGATCCATGTAATTGTTTATCATTCCTTGACAGATAAAGAAACAGCAGTCTTGCAGAATCTAGAAATGCATTACAAATACAYAATACGTAATAATATATATTGAATTACAATTATCTGACTTAAAATGTTTTGATTATACTACCAAATATAGATCTGTTTTGTGGTTAGGCTTTAACTCTGCTTTTCTAAAGCCTGTATCGTACTGTAAAAAACTCCTTTAAACTGAAATAAGGATTGTCTTCTGTTTGTCTTCCAAATGGATGATAATTGGGAATGTATTTTATTTCATAGCAATTATAATTTTAAATGCATCTATGACACTGCTTTTGGCTCGAGTGACCACATGAAATATCACCCGTTGTTTTTGTCCTTGCAGAAGTTGTCATCTGAGAGGCCGAGCTCGGATGGGGAAGGTGCTGTGGAAAATGGCATTGCTGCGGTGTGCAATGGCAAAGAACAAGGTACATCCCAGAGGCAGAGTGCTTGGTGAAATAATATTTGCAGAGAGAGAAAGATAGGAAATAAAATAGGCTTGGTGATTATATTTTAAAGAAATAGGTAGTAATACCTCAAAATATTTATATTAGGGTTCAGTTTAGTTTTAAAGTTAAATAGAGTCACATTAAGGAGTCAAGTATGACACCTTACATTTTGCATTGACAGAAACGATTCGGTGTTATGCAGGTAATAAAAATATGACTGTAAAGACATAGAATATCTTGGCATTTTTTCATGTTCAAAATTGCAGCCTTTTTCAGGACAGCTCGGGCAACTGACAGTTTTGTAGAGCAGCTAACAGAATACTGGCAACATACATAGTATTTGTGTAGTTTTTAAGCAAAAAAATSAATGCTGAATGAATCACTGCTAAAAGGAAATGAAAGAATCATGCATATTATATAGTTCTCTATATATGTATACACGCATGTATAACATGCATAACACTGAAATATACATAATCATGTAATATCTGTGTCTTTGTGTGGGCATATATGTATAAAGTTTTACATATGCTTCCTGTTCAACCGTGAATTTTATTTTGGCCATTATAAATCTAACAAAGGCACTTCCTAAACTCGGTGTTTACCCAATCGCTGTGTGCGTATTTGCAGATAAGCTGCAATCCCCACCTGAAAGCCTTTCCCTTCTCCAAACTGCATGTGGCAGTTTGRCTGCAGGCAAAACTTCCAAGGATTTTTCCAAGTTAGCTAACAGTTAAACTAAATGTGATAAATTACACCATGGTGACTTCCAGACTGTTTCTGTTTTCAGAGCATTCTTCATCCCAATTCATCAATTCATGTAATCATTTTTCATGTAAACATTTTATCGTTTTTTCCCCTCACTTAAGTCCACAACCACTAAATATTCTGAGGAGAAAGATTGTTTGAACTTCTACTTCTATTAAGATTCTCCCTATTAATCACTTTATTCAAACCCACACTTTTGTGTTCTTGATAGTGAAAAGGAAAAAAAGTTCAAAGTCAGAGGCCAAGGGCACAGTGACCAAAGTAACAGGGAAAAAAATAACAAAGATCATCGGTTTGGGAAAGAAAAAGCCATCAACAGATGAACAGACCTCATCAGCTGAAGAAGATGTTCCTACATGTGGTAAGAGATTTCTCTTTGAGTCTTAAATGCGCTTTGCAACTCAAACTTTATAAAATGTAGCCTAGAAATTCATATATATATTTAACTGCTTTGATTCTTGCTCTAACATTAGCAAGATGCACTTGCATTGAAAAAGGTGTAATAAAAGCCTATCAGTTGAGAAACAACTTAGAGAATTTAAATTATTTACTAAAATGATAGCACAAGCCAATAAAGACTGTCGTTATTGTCTGAAGAGAAGCGGAGGAGAAATGTGGACCGAAAATAGAGAGAAACCAGAGCTACTTAAGCATAAAGATAATTTTCAAACAAATGGATATAGAATTAATAAATTTAGGCTGAAAATAAGAAAGATTTCCTGTTGACAGAGGTGCTTTTATGATGGATCTTGCTAAGGTTATTTGTGATGGCAATCATGATAGCAGTGCAGCAGCCTCAGCCAGAATGATCCCATTGGTTCTGGGTTGCTAAACTGATGTATCTTGCATAAAACCATATTCCTGGAGACTGTTTCAACCACTAGTGTTAAACATTCCTTAAGAAGAAAACTGTAGTGCTTGGTAACACTAAGATGGTGTATTTAAAGGCATACCAAAAATAGGGTAACCTTCTTACTCCTGTTTTGCATCTTTTAGCTGTTATTATTTGCTAACTATTTGGGATTTGTGTCCTATGTAGCAGCTGTGGTCGCAGCTCTGGTGTTTTCAAATAAAGCAGAGTATTTACAGTTCCCGAAATGCCCTCTGGTGCTCTGGTAGTAACCAWCACTTTTGTATATGAACATAAACCCACCCTTCTGCCAACCCATCCACTGCGCAAAAGAGTTGCGAAGAAATCAAGCTATGAAGCAACTGTCCAGGATCCTAAATAAAGTCACAGATTATTTTTGCCCTTTTAGTTGATGGGAAATCCAGAAAGTTGTGATTTGGCAGCAGCTGGCAGAACATGGTTGCATATGGCACAATAGATGCCCATTTGAGAAGAGCAGATCCATGGAACACCAACGAGAATTTCACAGATCCCAGGTGGCTCTCAAGCCGCAGTTTGGGAATCATTCACATAAGCAAGCTTTGATTAAATAAGTGTGCGTTTACATGTCTGTACATCAGCTAAGTGCAGATGTGATATATCAACCAGAAGAACAGCTGGGAAAAGCTGTCTCCAGCCAGATACATCTTCTGAAGCATCTGGCTTCCATAAAAGCTCCAACTTCCTGGGTCTCATGCTCTGTTGATTATTCTGTATTATGTGAGATGTTAACCTCAGCTGTACAACCATATTCATAGTWTTCTGTCATTATCTATGATCTGGGCATAAGTATAGCCATTACTGTGGTCTGCGTTTGGCACTACTCAACACCACTTGCAGATTTTATAGAAAAATATATAAGTGTGTAGGCTTTGGTCATGGCAGGAAGTCTCCGCAGAAGGAGTTTCTCAAGATCAGAAAACTGGCTCAGTGCAATGCCCTGGAGGTCGCTGCATAGTTAAGGGCTTTCTCACTTAAATGTTCTGCCTCCCAAGAGCAAAGGGAGGAGCACAGCAGGGCCTGCAGGGGACTCACAGGAAGGATGGAGATGGAAAGTCACCTGTGTGCTGGGTCTCCTCACTACAGCAGAACTTCTCYTCAGACAGCTAAGCTGAGCTGTAAATGCCCCAAGTAGGAAGACACACGAGGCATGTTGACATGTCAGCTACTGAAAGTCTAAGTGGGAATATTCTGAGGGAAAGCATTGGATTCTGTTTAATTTGAATAAAATATGAGGGCCTGGAAGAGCTCTTCTGTAAGAGGTGCAATGGGAGAAGAAGGGAAAGAAAATATCACCTGAAAGAAAACGGAACTATCCCTCCAGAACAAGCCAGCTGGCTTGCACATGAAGCCTGTCTGTTTCTCGGGGTTATGTTATATTGCACAGCTCTGCAGTTTTTGTTACAGGAAGAGGGAGGAAGGCTGGAGAATTTGATCACTGCAAGGAGCCAAAATCACAGGATTATGCACATCCTCYTCCTTTTTTTTATGGCACCTTCTAGGATGTGCACAATTCTGATCTACCATATCCTGTTGGATCAAGCTTTGATATTGGAACCATAATGTTGGAAGGGAAAGCCAGAAAAAATTAAGTGACAAGTCATAGTTTTAATGAAAAGCAAAGAGATAGCTGTCCAACATGATTAAGTGCTTAAGTAAAATCAGACATGAGAATGAAGATAAATATTTTATATAAATTTTGGCCTATACAAGATATTATGTCATATCAACATACTGAATACACGTACCACTTGCAAAGGGGAACAAAAATTAAACATTTTTTTTTCCAAACTAAATGAGACAGCAAAATTATGCATTGTCTTGATTTTAAAGTTAGAATCTGGGATGATAATTGCTTCAGGGCAGAGGAGGAAAAATACTGCCCATTTACTGACAGTGTTTGCCTAAATGCTGTATTTGTGAACATGAGTAGGATCTTTTTAAAGGATAATCTGTTCATGAAACTTTGATTTGTTATAGGATACTGAATTACCAAGAAAAATAAATTCAAAGCTTTTGTTCTGAAGTTTAGCTGAATTTCATACATATTATGCTCTACAAAACAGTATTTGTTTTATTTTCACTGGCTTCAATCTCTTAATTTCTGCTTTAAAAGTGCTCTTGAAAGTTGCAAATGAAAAATGCATTCTTCTTTATAAATGAAATTAGAATGAGGTAATCAATATGGGAAACAGATAGTGCTATTCTGTTCCTCCCAGCAGAGCAGGATGGATTGGCATTGCGTGGGTGAACTTTATTATGTCTTTAAGAAACCAGTTTTGAATGTTAACAGAAACTAGCTCATCACCCAATTGTATACTAACAGCTGTGATTCCCCCCAGAAAATTTTGGTCAGTCACAGTTACTCAAACTCAAATATCTCCTGTTTCATTTTATTGCAGGGTATCTCAACGTGCTCTCAAATAACCGCTGGCGTGAGCGCTGGTGCAGAGTGAAAGACAATAAACTCATTTTCCACAAGGACAGGACAGATCTGAAGACCCACATAGTTTCCATCCCTCTCCGTGGCTGCGAGATCATTCCAGGGCTGGACTCCAAGCATCCCATGACCTTCCGGCTGCTTCGAAACGGGCAGGAGGTCGCCGTGCTTGAGGTGCAGTGGCTGTTAACRTGGGGCCTCCTCTGGACACCTGCTAGCAAACTTAGAGGAGCAGTTTCATACAACCTGACCTTTCAAAAAAWTTTTGGACTGTATTATTGCAGTTGGGGGTAATAAATACTGGAAAGAAAAGAAATTAAGACTTGCAGGCAAAGAAAGAGCTGAGTTTTAGGGTCAAGTCATCACAGCTCAGAAAGCTTCTCTGGTGAGATGTTTCCACCATCCCTCTCTATTCTGACCTGCTGCCAAAATATCTGGGCTCCTTCTGTAGGTACGCTCTCATGTGTACCTACATACCAGGGATAATATATCTACTTTAGCTAAATACCTTAACTGAAGTTAATTAATGGATCACTTGATGAAAACTCTTTGGGCTCTTCATTCTCATTTATGTCTCCTCTCTATGCGAGTCACTTTTAAGATTCCCATTCAGTGTCCCTGTTAAGGTRAAAAATGTGGTATGTCAGGCAACTGCTGATCTGTTCTCATGCTCCACGGGTAAAGAGGTGTCCATAAATACATAAATACACTCTTACTGCTGCCCAGGTCATAACATCACCTGCAATAGTTGCACAGTAACTCCAAGGCTGGAGGAATGGGAGCAGAGCAGAGGACAGAGCAGAGGCCCAATGCAGCCCAGGCAGCTAATAATCTAAGCTGGGGAAATACTCAAAAACTTTGCTGGGATCCAAGATCAAAGAGCTGATGGCAGCTGCTGGGGATAGGCAAGCTGGTGTATGAAAACAGTCTGATCTGGAAAGCTGCAGCTACTGGCTCTATCCATATCTCATTACTGCACTTCTCAGCAGCAAATTCAAGAGTGAGATGTAACTAAAAAGTCAAAAGTGAAACGAAAATATTGGGGAAAAAAWCCGTTTTCAGACCTTGTTAAACTTGGTCTGTAAAATGTCATCCTTTTTTCCCTTTTTTCCCCCTTTATTCATTTTATTTGGTAAGCTGAAGTGAGAGGACACTCAAATTCAAACATCATGAAGCTACAGAAGGAGACAGCCTTTCATTTTCAGTGGCAGGACAGACACTTTGAACACACTGGGTTTCCGAGCGCAGGTCACATCAGTCTCTTGTCCTTTGAACGGGGCCTGTTACATGTGAGAATCTGAAATGCTAGCTGGCAATTCAAAGCACTATGAAAGGTGGTGAAATATTAAAAAAAAAAAAAAAAAGAAAATTGAAACATAGAAGATCAAATAGACAAATATCTTGTTTTTTTTTTTAAATAACTAGTATTTCTTCCTGCATTTCATTATTTTGTTTTTTTTTTTTCATTTCAACACAGTGTTAACATTTGCTAAGTGTGACATGACTCAATAGCCTGTGTAGTTATTTTTCCTTTTTTTCCTCAAGACTACCCAGTTTGTAACCACACATAGCTGCACATATAGCTTACTCAAAGTGCTCTCCTTGTAGCAAAGCAAATTTAATGAAAAGCCTGTTTCTTATCAGGARCTCAGCAGAAAGAAGCCAGAGCTTCTTGTGCAATATGGTAGCATTTTCCCAAGTATAATGCACAGCTTTGAGATGACGTTGAAGTTCAGTGCTAGATTGAGGGCTTACTTAACCCACGCTCTTTCCCTCTTCTTACAGGCTTCATCGTCTGAAGACATGGGCAGATGGATTGGGATTTTRCTGGCTGAAACTGGGTCTTCCACAGACCCTGGCGCCCTGCACTACGACTACATTGACGTGGAGATGACGGCGAGTGTCATCCAGGCTGCAAAACAGACCTTCTGGTAGGCGCGTTAACCCAGCCGGGCTCTGGGAATTCACATCCTTGTGCTAAAACTCGCGTGCCAAGACGGCTTAGCAAAATCCCCCCTTTGCCACACAGCCAACGCCTCAAGTGTCTCAGCATCTCAGATGTGTTTAAGATTATCTTCTTGGCATCCTGTGAAGTGCGGTAAAAATGCAGATGATGGCCAACTTTATTCCAAGCTTTACTCTTTTTTTTTTTTTTTCTATAAGGCTACATATTCGGAGCAATATGTTTTATTCTTCTGTTTTGCCTGAAGCCTTAGCACTGTCCCTGGAAAAAGACAAATATGCTGACATTTAAATATATGTCTAGCTACCTAGAATACATTAATTTACCTCACGGCTGTATTTATATTTATGTCTGAACAGAACTGCTGAAAATGTGATGCAAATTTAAGACTTGGATAGTCACATTCTCAGGGTTCTTCATCTGAAAATCTTTTTTTGATTAATTAAAAAAAAATTATCAAGTTCACACCAATCCTATTTATTTTTGAATTTTAATTTAAGGGGTAGAATCTGGGTGGGAGTATAGGCACAGCATACAAAGGCWGTCTGAAACGTAAATCTGGACAGTGAATCCCTTGTCTCAGATGCTATGTCATGTGGCAAGAAAAGCAAAGCATACTTAGCTTCTACACAGTGATTTCAGCGTTCAAATCAATTTAGGCATTAAATCAGCATTTGGTGGGAGGGGGCCTTCGTTCTTCCATGACTGCATTAGATCATTTAGCCCGTGGATCCTGAGGCCATCTGGGACCTCCTGTGGCACCAGGTGGTATCAGAGGGTTAGAAGCCCATTCCCTGATGAGATATCCATAATGAGCCTGGCAGTGAGGCTCTTCACACAACTCAATAATTTGTCTGACTTAGTAACACGTTAGAGAATCATATCCTACCTACCCATTGTAAATGTAAACAGACTCAAAGCCCTGAAAAGGCAAAAAAGCTTTGGAGTTTTCCAAATGCTCTTCCCTTCACTTTATTCAGAGAGCTTTAGTGTGGGAAAGTGTGYGGCTCCATTCAGGACCTGCACTGAATGATAGATATCAAAAAGTGACTCAGAGTTGCCATGATCCCGGTTTTGTGAAAGCCAAATAATTCTGAGAGAATCAAAATGCATTTCACATATAGACTCCTATTACTGTTTGTTTGGAAGTTAACAGGAATCACGAAGTACATCCTGGGTTGACATGTATTTTTGCCTCAGTCAGCATCTAATACAAACCACATTTAAGAAAGRAATAGAATGGAAACCTTTTTCCCAAATACTGCTTGGCTTTCCTTTTCTGAACAAAAGTGATACTAATTGGAGCCAAGTGAAAAAACATATTAGGGAAGAAGGTCAAACTTAACTTGCAGAATAGCAGAATTCCCCCATTAGGAGGTTGTTCAAATTCATTGGGTGTCTTTGAAAAGATTGCAAGAGCTTGTCAATAAGCAACTAAAGTAGCTGCCTTGTGATTTTTCAGCTACTCCAAGAAAATWAGGAGAAATGACAGTGATACTGAAGTGTTAATAAAATATTATTGGCAGTCCTTTATAGAATTAATAGCCATATTTTAACTTGACTGCAGTTATCATTAAAGATTTGATTATCATAAAATCATACAGGGTTTATTGATAGTGCTTTTACTGTGATTAATGCTTTGCCAAATGATTGGCTCTCCATTAATAAGCTTGTTAGTTTTCCTTACATAAATCATTAGCTGTGTAAGGAAAGATGGGAGAAAAAATGTTTTGTAACACTTGAGTTTTTTCCTCTATTTTTGCAAGTTTAGAATATAGCTGATTTACATGGATGAATCTGTAAACAGGGCTAATGAGGCCTAGTGAAATAAAGGTCAGTGTTTGCAGATACATACTAAATGTTTGCTTCTTTGGAAGGCSGGAATAGTTACAGCAGGTGCCTTATATGTCATTAATGGATCTCGACTTTCAGACATTTGTTATGCATCACACTTGATAAAGCTATTTAAACAAAAAACACATAATGACATCTGCAAATATAGGCCTTCACACTAGTCAGAAACATGTTAGTGTTCTTCACTAGGAGGAGTAGCCCTTTATTAGTGTATTATAAAGTATGAGATACGACAAAGTTAAAAACATTTCTATCTATCCAAGACTTTCTGTGGTTTGTTTGTCTGTCTGTTTTACGATGGTAAGAAAATCTTCAGTCTAATGATTATTCCAGCTCCTTAATCCCGTGCATCCATCTGGGATGTGGCAGCCAAGAAAGGCTCACAGTGACCTGGGCAGGTTCATCCCTCTTGTGAGCCCGTGTCGCCCACGGCTCAGGTGAGCAGTAGATGGATGAGGCCTGGCTCCCTCTACACAAGAAATTCAATGGCCTCAATATTATTCCAATGCCAAAAGAAAGCTCATGTCGAAACCACAGAATTCTTGACTTCTGGCCAGCACTACAAACAGCCCACTCTGCTCTAGGAGGGCTTTATCGTATTTTATGAATGTCAGCACAGAGCCTGAATAGTTCCATTGTCTGGGGTGGAAGTCTTTGTTTTCCCTTTCATGTATACCTGCATCTATAGGAATTAGAGGGAATCTCGCTGTGTACCTCCGTCTGATTCAGAGGCTGCTTGAAATGAAAACTCACCTTTAGGGTCATTATTACTATTGGCCTGGCTCTGCAGCTGCTTTCTGCTTCCCTCCCAACACAAACTACCTCTTCTAGTTGGTGACACTTYGCAGAATTCTGCAGAATTCTAATAAAAAGGGCTAGAATCCTGATTCTAATAAATAAATAAAGAACAATACACATCCCTTCCAAAGTTTTTGTATGGCTTGGATGCACTCTGCCTGACAAGAATRTGCATATGAAGCAATTGCAGGAACACAACCTGGGCATCAGGTTTGCATCATTGTTCATACTCTACCCAGCAACAGGTTCCATTATGAAAGTGAAAAAACATCAGCAGAATTTGGAGCATAAAATATACAGCAGATTTTAATGGACTTAATTCAATTTAGGGCCCACTTTCCTCCAGTCTTTKCAGGATTTGATTACAGTGCCTCCGGATTCCCAAGCACACATCCCCCCGGACACTCATGCACTGAGAGCCACCTGCTTCTGCCCGGTGCAGAAGACAAGGAAGCTTTTATGGGCCATTGCCAGGCTGGCTTATAACTTAGATCAGCAGGTTTCCCTGTAAACATGCCACTGAGTAGTTACAGATGTTGCCAGCCTRGCTTTCTCGCTGTCTTATCCACGCTCTTGGAATACAATACAGAAACATATGTTGTGATAGCATATGGTGCTGCTAGCAGCAACATGTGAGTAGCAAAGGAAGGAAGGAAGGAAGGAAAACTCTCCTGCGCTTTGCTGCAGAAAGTGAGAAGATCTGTGCTTCCRGGCTACATAATCAGTCACAGGGAACAAACCACTGATTCATTGTGTAGACTTAGGTTCAAGAGCTGGTTTTTATTATTTTTTATTTTGCTTTATTCAGTTTTATGAACAGGCGAGTCATATCTACAAATCCATATCGGGGAAGCACTGCCAATGGCTACGCATGTCCAAGTGGAATGGCACTTCATTACGATGATGTTCCCTGCATAAATGGATCGGTAAGAATTTAATTTGCATGGGGCAAATGGTTTGCATGTGTTGAATGCATGGCCATCTGAAAATTATATTATCTAAAAAGCACCACAGGGCAATTTCCAAATGAACTCTTTATTTTTTTGATTGGGAATTACAAACTTCTCTCACACCTCCAGAGTATTAGGGGCGGGGGACATGTTGTGTACATTAACCTGCACATGAGCCAACATGTGTTTAGAAAGCAGCTGTCTGCTGCTGATTTGTTGCCAAGTCCTTGAGTATAATACTGACTTGAGGGGTATTTTTTTAGATCACCCAGACCTGGAAAAGTTAAGGACTCAGTTACCCGACACACTTGCCTATTGAAAGAAAGACCTTCTGTCCCACGGCTGTATGGCTTTTGACAGCACGTAGCACTTTTCCCAAAGGAGGACTGCATGGGTCATTTCCATCTTCACAATTTGTAGAGCTGATGTTAGACAGATGTATAATAAGCTTTAACACATAATTGATATTAACTCATAGTAGTATGTGGTCCCTAAGAGGATTTAGAGGGGAGCTATGGCTCATGTCAGCTCTCAATTTGGGCTGCTTCCTAAAGGCCCTCGCGAAGGATGAACTCTCAGGGAAATTCACAGAAATTTGAAATCTTAAGCAGACTGCAAGTACTGTTCTCAGTCATGTCATAATAATGTCAGAAAGATGGCAGAAAAGCCCCTCTGGGGAACAACACACAACAGCATGTGTGGTGAGCAGTCTGGATCTGCAGTACTTGGATGTGCTTATAAGCCTTCATATGAAAAGTATGCTGCCACAGCCAGGATGGATTAAGGAAGGATATTTGGCAGCCAGACTCATGTTTTCTTTTAAAGATTAATTGAATGAATCAGGGGGGTATTGTTGTTGAGCTTTCCATTTTTTCTGAAGAAAAAAAAAAAGAGGAAATAGCCTGTAGCTATTTTAGATAGATAGCTCAGAATAATAATTTTCCAGCAAATAAAATGTAATACTAGCATACCAGCAGCTGGAAAGACATATAGCGTAAAGAAAAAAAAAAGAAAGAAAAGAAAAAGAAGATAAAAAACACTCCTGGCTTTTGCTGTTAGGCTATATTACTTTTAGCAAACTGTACCAGATATAAGAAGATACCTGCAGGTTCATCTGCATAGCCCATGAGAATCCCACTGCCAGTTTAGAGAAATAGTGTGACATTTCTTCATGTGTTCATTCAGTATTGGAGTTGTTACCACTTGAAAATACAGTCTATTAAGTATTAAGGGGGTAGGATAACACCAGCTTGCTCATATAAGAGAAAAGGACAGAGGTTATGGGACTTGTTATACTGGGGCTTCCTTTCCACAGTGTGTCCCCCTGCACTTTTCCTGGTAGCCTAGCTCAAGGGTGAGCAATAAGGCTGTTCTTGATAAACATAAAGGGCTTTCTTTGCTCACAGAAGCTTTACTACTGTGTTAATGTCACTTGGGTTCTGCATGGCGTKCTGTTTACTAACTGCCAAGTGTGTGTGTTGCAGTGGGAACCAGAAGATGGCTTTCCTACTTCTCGTAGCAGGAACATGGGAGAAGAAATGCTTTATGATAACGCAGGCCTGTACGATAACTTGCCGTCTCCAAAAATCTTTGCGCGCTATCCATCAGCTGAGAGAAAAGCCACTAGGTTATCTGCTGACAAACTCTCCTCTAACCATTACAAACACCCTGTCTCCTCCAATCTGTCTTCTGCTCAGTCTGTCACTAATACCTCTACTGTGGGGAGGGGATCTGTATCACAGGTACTGTACTGTTTAATACTTAACAAAGCTGCTTATTTTTGGCTGTTCTGTGTATTCATTGTTATTTTAAGGACCTTGGGCTATTTCGGTTAGTCTTATCATGCTAGGAGTTTGGTCATGAGCCACTGCAAATGGAGCAGTTTTGCTCAGTGTTGCTCTTGATGGGGCAGCACTGTCTCCTTGGGGTATGTAAAGACCTTTTCCACGGACTCGTGGTGATTTATGTAGTGTAGAAAAGAGCAAAAGAACACATGTGGCTTTTTAAACATGACTTTAAAGCATATCTACTTTTCTGCTTCTCCTTAAGCATGGTGATGACTTCAAAAGGAAAAAAAAAAAAGCATTTCTGGAATGACCAATTGTGTATTATATTTCCAGTAGCTACCTATATAATGTATGCATTCATGTAAAGTATGTTCTATAATATATAACTGTATATGTACTGTGTTTAAGTAACTGTTTGCTATTTTCTTTTCCCCCACCCCAAAACATTAAGCATACTTTTTCTCTAGCCTGGGTTCAGTTTGTAGCAGGGGTGCAGTCTAATGGCATATGAAATGGGCTGTTTCTGGCAATTTTCTAAACTTCCCTAGCCTTTGGGAGAGGATGTCCTTTTTTAAGTAAGAAAATAATAGTAATGATAATTAACTAAAGATTGTATAAAAGGAAACTGGCATATTAGCCTAATATATTTWAAAAAAATAAGTGCTAACTGTATTATTTTGAGCAAAAATCCATGTACCACAGTGATGTAAAAGTCACATAGCAGGTAGGAAACAGTTCCTGGTGGTTGCTGCTCTTGGAGCTCGCTGCAGAGCAGCAGCAGAGTCAATGATGAGACCCCCGRAGGAAGCCCTGTCTCCAGCTGAATCAATTAAGTCTATTAAAAGGCTCCTCTAAGCAGGCAGCTTTTCATCCTACTGTCAGGCTTTGCCCTTGATGAAAGGGTGACTGTGATGCCAATAGTACAGTAATAACTGGATCCTGTTTGTACTTTGTTTCCCAACAGGTTAAAGGCAAGAAACCTCCTGCAGCTGCTAATGGGACCACAGGAAAAGCGAGAACTTTGAAYAGCCAGCCGAAGAAATCCGAGTCGGTGTCGTGCGTGAAGCGCACAGCATCCAGTAAGTGCAGCCCCGGCAGCTCTGCTGCTGCCTGCGAAAGCCCTCGTGAGGACACCCGAAATGGCCCTGCCATTTCTCTCTCCTGTGCCCAGAGGCATCACTAGCGCTCGGGAGCTGCGATCCCTGCGAAYTGGCAGCTCTTTATCACTCTAGGCGTTCCCGAGGGTAAAAGGATGTCATTAAATATGAAATATGGCTGGAAAAAATACTCATGAGCAAAGCAGGAAAGAATTCAGTAACTTCCTTTTGGGACAAAGAGTAATTCTATATTACTGTTGGGACAGAGGGGTGAAAAGCTAGGAAAGACACTTGAAGGCTTTTATGTTGCTCGTAAGTGGAATTATTCTTATCCTTAATGAAAAAAGTATAACAAAATAATGAAGACTGCTACTGCTGAAAAGCTTCCTGGAAGAGATGAGATTTCAGCTGGCGAGGGGCAAATAGATAAAGAGGATTCTCCTTGGCAGGTGGATTGCCTGTAGGAAATTTGAGTGCTTCTGCTCTGAGATAAAGGCTCATTAAAGCAACTTTATACTAAGAAAGGAAGATTAGGGGAGAAACTTGTCTGATTGTCCCAGAAAAATAACTTTGGGTAATTAAAAACAAGCCTAACAGGCTTGTTTTGTTTAAAAAAAAGATAAGATGGAAAAGAGATTATGTTCTTAAAACATGACAAAGACTTTTACTAGGGAAAGAATGTGGTTTTTTGAGCCCAAGGTATATTTTTAAGAAGTCGTGTACTTAATCGGAAAAAGAGAGATTTGGGTTATATATATTTTTCTGACTGTGCAGGTGGATTGGCACTGAAATAGATAGTTGTGGGAGGTAAAGGCATCCGTTACTAAAGAGCAGCTAAAAAGGTTTGACAGATAGGTGACCAAAGTGATCTGTTGGATGACCTATTTTCTTTGACTCCATGACTGGGACACATATTGAAGTGGCTGTGATATAAATTGGAACATAGATATGAAATGTGAGCCATGAAAACATTTCTGTGGGAAATGAAAAGAAAAAAAGACTTAAGTACCACCACAGTGAGCATATCATGTTCTCTTACGAGAAAAGCAAGAAAAGATGTGTGCTAAGTACTGAAGCCTTCTCTTGAAGTAAGAATGGAAACTAGGCAAAAAGGGCAAATTTTTTTCCTCTAACCCCTTCCAATTAAAAATCAAGGGTTCAGAGATAAAGGGCCTGGTTTCCATTCTCTGAACTACAAAGAAAGGCAAGGCCATTTTGAAAACCAGGGGACTATAAGGTAGCTGATAATTCTCATTTTTGCCCCATGTTTTTTTTTCTAGAAAAATAAATCTCATCTTGTTAGTAACTGTATTTCATAACTTAGTGGGAATCACAAAATGTGAGAAAAGGTGAGTGGAACAGAAAGGCTAAACTGGTTTCTCAAAACACGAAATGGTCTCTGTGATGTTGAGACTTGGGGAACTGGTTTGGGCTTTACTGATAGTAAAAGTGTCCCTTGTCCRGAACTGTTTTCCTCTGGAAGCGTGCAGGATCAGGCCGTTCGGAAGGTGATTTCCTCTGGAAGCAAGCAGGATCAGGCCAGTAACGGCAGTGTCATTCCTGCAGATGCCGAGCAGTACAAGTACGGCAAGAACCGTGTGGAGGCCGATGCGAAGCGGCTGCAGAGCAAGGARGAAGAGCTGCTCAAGAGGAAAGAAGTGCTCCGGAATCGGCTGGCCCAGCTCCGAAAGGAAAGGAAGGATCTCCGAGCTGCCATTGAAGTCAATGCTGGTAGGGGGGACTCTAGGGACCGACCYGGTCAAGTTACAGGCCCAAATGGGTTTCTGTCCTGGGCTGAAGTTGTAGCACTACATGAGTTTGATTTTGAAGTAAAGCTGTAGTCTGTAATGACTGTATTTGTTCTTTATATATATTTTATATGTGTGTGTGTCTCTACACATATTTGTTTACTCATATATACATCATCATTCACACACACACACACACACACACAGAGGTTAACTAGATTCATTTGTTTCAGGTAGAAATGGCAGTGGTGGGGACTGAAGCCGCTTGTTCTCAACAGCAGCTTCATAGTTCTCGCACAGTCGTCATGACCACCTAATTAATCATACTTTTGTGATAAAGACAAACAATGAAAAAACTACCAGTTTGAAACCAGCTGAAAAAACTAAGGAAGGCACCTCAAAGAGAGTGTTTGTTTTTTTCCCTGATAAACATTTTTCCGATAAAAAGATTTGCAAAGAATGTATTGTTTTTGTGAAGTCAGTGACATCACAAAAGTGGAGTTCACAAAGTCAGTGACTTTTTTAGAGGCCACATTCCTTATTTTCTTTTTTCAAATAAAAATAGGTTTTGTAAGTGTTAATTTAAGCTTCTTGTTGGAATAATAGTAACATTGCTCTTGGTGACAGGCAGGAAGACTCAAGTGATTCTCGAAGATAAGCTGAAGAAGCTGGAGGAGGAGTGTAAGCAGAAGGAGGCCGAGCGTGTAAACCTGGAGCTGGAGCTGACGGAGGTGAAGGAGAGCCTGAAGAAAGCCCTGGCGGGTGGCATCACGCTGGGCCTGGCCATCGAGCCCAAATCAGGAACGTCCAGCCCTCAGGTAGGCACAGCCTTCATACACTGGAATCAGAGCACCTAGGGCTGTGCCAGTGGAAATGGTGGGAATTGAGAGTTTTCAGCAGCTTTGTTAAGGCCAAGAAGTAAGAACGGAGCTAAACACTTTTCTGCATTGTCCTTCACCTGCACCGAATGTACTTTCTGCAGAAACCAGGTTTAGGTAGACAGGAGAATCATAGGCAGTATGTTTATAATTAATACTTGTATAGATGATCTCTAAAGGTCCCTTCCAACCTTAAGGATTCTATGATTATGATATTATAGCTGGGTCAATGAGTGATTTGTTGATCCCTCCATATGACCCCATGGTTAATCACAGAGAATGAACATTGTTACCCAGAACATGTTCTTTGGTTTGTTTACTTTTATTTTTTTCATTTCTATTTGTTACTTTATTTTAATGAATATTAAAAAAAAAAAAAAAGATCAGTGTTTCTAAGTCTGGAGAGATGACATTGCCCGTGTGACTATTTAGAGGACACTCAATGTAGGATTTTTACTCTTTAGTCCCCAATTTTCAAGCACCGGACTTTGGAAAACTCACCCATCTCCAGCTGTGATACTAGTGATACTGAGTGCTCGATACCTGTGAACAGTGCAGCAGCTCTGAAGCGACCTCCCTCATCAAATAATTCTCCTTGTCGAGGTCACGTACTCCGAAAAGCAAAGGTGAGAAGCCTTGCCTCTAGTCTGATTTACTTCTTTAAAAAATCTTGATTGTGGACAGAGAGAGAGATTACCCCTGCTTAAATTTCTGTGGGTGAAAATCAGCTTTGAGAAAAGATGTTACATACTTAGATTATTTACATTAATAAACACTGCATACTCATCCTCCAGTCGGGAATGTCTTTGGGAATGATTTGTAAAGGCAAATTTTTGAAAAATAATTTGGGAGAAGGATTTGGCTGTATTTCCCTCTCTCACTCTTTTTCTCTGTTCCTTTATAAATTTCATTTGCCAGGTAAGAGGTCTGTGCTGTAATCAGTCCATTTAAAAATTCAGAAAGTTTCACTAACTCTGTAGCTCCTAAGGGTTAAGCGCCTTGGTGTAGTCAGCTGATGCACAAACAGATTAGTTGTAAACTACAGTAACTGAAAGTGTATTGTGCACCTGTCTGCCCTTAATTTACATTTAAAGTAGAAATTGAAATAATTTAATTTAGCCTGAAAAATACCAGGCTGAAGTTTGTGTTCCTGTWTAATGTTTCTGCTTTCCATTAAATGCCATTGCATGACAGTTCTTGAGCGCTACATTGGTTAGCAAAATATAAACTGTTCCTGAGTAGCATGTAGGCAGCGTGTAAGCAATGGCAATACAACCTGAGCATTTTTGGTATAAAGAATACCTTAGAGTTGTCATTTCATATGCTCAGCRATACAGGAAAAGTCTGCTATGTTGTTTGACTGGGTAGTCCTGTTTTGTAGGGCACAATAAGTTGGTTAAGTTCTTATGTAGAGGAATCTCAGAGATAAGGTGACACTAGTGAGAAAGGCCATGCAGCTGCTAGGCACAGCTCTCATCCTGGGAAGTGGCAGTGAGGCTTTCATGTCTGTGCTAACACTCCTGCCTTCAGTGCCTGAAAAATGTTAAGAAGGGCTGTATAACCCTTGAAAACATTGAATTTTCCTTTTTTCCTTCTTTTTTCTTGCTTTCTCTTATGTGCATTGCTTGCCATTGGGATGGTATGTAGGGAAAACACTGTACATACACACATATTCAGATTGTTGACTTTTCTGGTTTTAACTTAAATAATATTTAACTATTTTTTGAAAGTAGCAGTGCTTATTTTTAAGTAGCCAGAAATAATTTTTAATTGTGATTTTTTTTTCCCATCTCTATTTGGCTTGAAAAGGGAACTGTATTAAAATATGCAAAATAAAAATTTGCATTGACATTGCTAGTTAAGTAAAATACTGTCAGTACTCTTGGTATGTAAGAAAAACAATTATTTAAAAGAAACAATTATTCAAAAAAACAGATATTCAAGCACACTTTGTATTTTAAAACAGTTCCTAAAAGCAAATTGTTCTAGAGCAATCAGTGCCATTTCCTGCACTGACTGTCAACATCTTCTATTTTGCTTTATGCCTATGCCCAGGGTCTGGAGAAGAAAACAAGCTCTTCCAGTTTTCCAACTCCCAGTTAATGTTGACTTAAAACATTCCCTTCATGGGCTTGAACGAGCTGGAGAAATGGGAACAAAGGAAATCTTCCTCCCACACCTGTGGAAGAAGCCTTTCAAGGCTTACTTAACACTCTAAGAAACTGTGTACCCAGCTGCTTAGCCAGAGACTCTCTTCAGAGCTTTGGCAGCTTGTGTATGGAGAGTACAGACTTAATGTGGTCTTTTTAAAGTAATCTAGCCAAATAGTTGCCAATAAAGTGATTCAAAATTAGGTTTGTCATAATTTGAGATGTAAAACTGAATACTATGCCTGAATTATATTTTACTTTTAATTTTTAATTAAACTTTTAACTACTATTTAAACTTAAAAATAGAAATAATAGTAAAAAGAATATTTATCTGCTTTAAAGCCAGATTTTTTTTTCTTCTGGCCCTAAAGCCCCCAGCTGTGACCTTTGCTGTTGCTTGGAAAAGCAGTCAGGGTCATGCAGCTGTKTAGCCAAACTAATACCAGTATTGTCTGCAGCAGAAACACATCCGTGCTTGGATAAGTAGCAGTTTTCAGCTAGAGCTCTTAAACATTGTGGAGTCGGTGTTAAATTTAGGAATCTGCATTGGGAGCCAAGCAGCCTGCAGAGCCTCCTTGCGGGCACTGGGTGGGAGAGGTGTCCGGAGCTCCGGATCCCACCACGGAGCAGCCCTGGGATTGCTCCACAGGGATTGCATCAGGCTGCAGGCTCAGTGCTCCCGATCAGCAGCGTTTCCTCCCTGCTGTAAGGGCACAGCTCGGTGAATATACAGACACAGCCATCCTATAGGGGCTGCACCTATGGATAGGCTCCGTAGCTGCTGCTCCTGTCCTCATCTGCCAAGTGGGAAAGCTGAGGCATGGAAAGGTAAAGTGACATCTCCAAGTGATCCAGCCGCAGCTCAGCTCTGGTTAGGTGTGTGGGAAGAAAGTGCATAGTTCAGAAGCCAGGAGGGGAAGCTGTGGCTCTGCAGGGGCGGCAGCAGGACCCACTTGTTAGCATTCCCCAACTAATTTGTGGGCTGGATCCAGGAAAGTCAATGGAAAAACTGTTCCTGACCTCAGCTGCCTTTGGCTGAKCAGAGAGGATGACATCAGTGAAATACCCTGATTTCTCTAACGTTTTTCCATATTTTTTTCCCCCTTTTCAGGAATGGGAGATGAAAAACGGAACATAAGTGTAGCAAAACCACTCACTTTTTCCATAAAGGCCTTACCTGTTATGGACCAAGATGCAGGCTGCAATAGACTCATCTGCAAAGTGGTATTGAGTGATACGACGTAAGAGGTTTTATAATTCTGTTAAGTTAATGGTAGCTTGGCCCTCATTTGCCTGTATTCCCTCTACTGTATTGCTGTGTAACTACGTGTGCCCCTTTTTATTACCTGTAACTCCTTGTTTCCAACCTCATTTGTACAGAAAATGAAAACCAAACGCCAAAACAGTGATAGTAAGTAAAAAGGAGCATATAGTTGCTACTGAAAGTTTACTTTGCAGGAAACAGTTTAGGCCAGCAATGTTAATGGTGCTGCATCAGACGGCCTGAACAGCACTGCAGACTGGTGCGTTATTGAAGACCAATGTGAAACCCTTCAGATCAGAGGTACCCCTGAGGTAATGCTGACTTTTGGGATGCTGCCAGAGCATTGCCCAAGAGAAGATTTTGCTCGTTTGCAGTCCCATTGCTGTTAGCTGTTCACAGGGCAAAAGGAAAACGAAGAAATGTCTTCACAGAAATGGCATGAGTGCTCGAGCTGGGAAGCCTGGACTCTTTGGTGCCACTGTCCTCTGTGGTGATTAGACACCACAGAGTGACACAACTCAGCGGTGAAGCATTTTTTGATACTTTTCAGACAGATGCTTTTGTCATTGTGGCATAAAAAAGCTGCCATACTTTTAAAAATACATTTTAATACATCCTTTTTTATTACTATTTTGAAGCACCGGTCATTTTCAAAGGTCATGTTGTTTAGGAAGGATTTGTTCCTGTTTCGTTAAAAGCAAGATATTACTTCATTTCTGTACTTTTCAAAAAAAAAAAAAAAAGATTCCTCAACAGATAATGGCAACTGAGAATAGCTTATGCAGTCATTTCGATTTTTATAATGCAGTATTGTTGAACTTGAGTTACAGAACACTGCTGTACTTGGTTTCCTTCGCCTTTTCTGACCTCGGCTATTATTTTGTGAGAAAGACAAACTGAAAGGACGATAATTTCCAGGCTCTTTTTATAAACGATTTTACGAACAATTGGGGATTTTTTCAGACAGAGCTCTACTTCTGTTTACTAGGAAACTGTGCCTTGCCTTTTAGCCTGCAAAATTACAGAAATCTGTTTGTCTTCTTTGTCTCTATCCATGTCATTCCTGAGGCTATATGCAGTAAATTGCCAAAGTCCTTCAAAATCTCAAGATTAACTTAAAAATCAGGAGAGGGAAGAAATAATGAGTTGGACTGGTTTAATGTATCCTCTGTGAGATTTTTTAAACCTTCAGAGAGTCTTCAATCACATTCTTAAGATTTTTCTCCTCAACTGTAAGGACTCAAAAATGACTTTAATTAAAAAACGTAAAATACTACTTATAGTTTGAGATAATCACAAGACATGAGGGCCAGAATCTTGATTAGTCAAGACTCACACTTAAAATCATAGAAATTGGCAACAGAGCAGTTACGAATGATCAAATCCAGTTATTGCCCAGGCCTGTATTTTTTCCTATAGCCTCAAGTACAAAACATATGTAACTGTTCAAGTGCTCGCTGGTATTCCAAGCTTGGATGGATGCTGGAGAGCACCCGACAGGACCTGGAAGTGTGAGCAGGCCTGGGACCACAGCACAAAGTGGAGAGAAAGATATGATACTAACAAACAGCTCTCCAAAAGCAGGCCATAGTGACTGCTGAGGGCTTTTGGAAACAGGTCCATAGTGGTTGACCATTTTGGTGCTTTAGCCTGTTTCCAAGCAAAATTAGTGCCAGGGATCTCATGGACCTTGACGGAGCAGAAATGAGGTGCAAAATTACAACAGGCTCTTGATTCTCAGGAGTCTGCTTTATGCAGTGCACCTCAGGAATGCCAGCGCAGCAAGAAAGCAAGCGGTTTCCATTGAAAACAGGATTTTTATTTTATTTTAGGTAATCTGCTTACTTTTAAACTCCTCATAAGTGGAGGGCACACTCTATGCTGTAAGACTATGGACTACACAGTGTCAAGTATCCCATAAATATTAGCAGAAGCAAATTTGAAGCAAAAAGTAAGTTCATTTAGGCTTTTTATTTCAAATTAAGTTATTTATTTGTATATTTCAATAAATATTTAATTTATATCTGTACATATTTATGATGCAAATTAGGCGTCTAGTCAACATTTGCARTGTTGCAACCGTTGCTATTAACAAGTGGTCCCACCTCAAGTACCACAGATCCATCAAAAGCCAAAACTACCTTGAGGCGGTCGCGCTCGCCTAGTGCTGGCATCGCAGAGCCCACACCTTATGCCATTAAACACGTGTGGAGCAGATGGGGTTTGTTCCTAATCCAAAACAAGAGCAAATTCCTCTTGCGGCCGAGGGTTCCCGGCTCGAGTCTCCCTTCGAGAACTCTGCATTTCGTGACACATCCATTCGACCCATGGAAGAAAACACCACACGCCCAGAAATAACCTCGCCGCAAACCACATGTAGTGCTGTGAAATACACGCCGTTTTGTTGAATGGTACTATTGCTGTACATTTTTTTTAATAAAAAACAATAGAACCTGTATTTCCAATGGTTTTGGATTTGAGAATCACCAGGCAAAGTCAGCAATACAGCAGTATGACTTTTTTTTTCTTTTAAAGAAAATTCTTCTATTTCAAACCATTGCATTTCTGTGTCTTCTGAGATAATGTTACACTTGTGCTTCCTCAGCAAACTCTTATTACTGTACCAGGTGCTTTTTATATTTTTTTTTTTTTTTTTTTGTTATGGGTGATGCTTTTTTTAAAAAATGAATCATAATCTTGGGGGATCAAAGTTTTTTTTTAATGATTGTGGCAATTTGATTTTTCAAATGGAGAATACTTTCATAGCGATTTTCATTTAAGTCACTTTCAAACTAATTGGCCCAGGCTGTATGTTGTAAGATAATGTTCTCATATTAAGAATGTAATTATTTGCTTATTGTATTTTTTAAAAACAAATTCATATTTAAAAATCTCTGTGAAAAAAAAAAACATGAAAGAAACATGAAAAAAGGTTTTGTTTTATTTTTGTTATTGGATATGTTGGCAGTGCCCATTATAACTGACTGTAAATATAGTCTTTCTACTGTATTTCTCAATGTATTTAAGTTTTTTGACACACATTCATGGAAACTGGTTAAAAAAAAATGGAACATGGTTAAAGAAAAGAAACCAGAATAGACCCACTTACATATGTGTGTCTTAGTAGCTTCAACTAACTTTCTGCCTTTCTAGTTTATTCTCCAGAAAGTCTTGCAGAGTGTGAAAAAAGACTGGCACCCGGTAGGTGCGACAGAGTCGGGCTCATTATCAATAAAGTTACATGTCAAAAAAAAGCAGCGTTTCCCGCATTCCTGTCCCGGGTGCGTGTGGGTGGGAGGCGCACGGAGGCCGGGAGCAGCCCCCGGCGAGGCCTTCCCTGCGCCACAGGCCCCGACGGGGTCATCAGTGGCCTGGCCCCCCTTCACGTGGGCACCAACTTCGTGCAGCTTGCCGATCTGTGYGTAAGGGATGCCCCGACAAGGGGAGACGGAAATTCCAGGTTTTTCGAGCTCACAGCAGGAGGTTCTGCTGTAGCGCATGGGAAGGTTGTGGAGGCTCCGTCTCTGGAGATCTCTGAAACCCGCCTGGATGCAGCCCCGTGCCACGCGCTCTGGGTGACCCTGCGTGTGCAGGGGGTTGGACTAGATGACCTCCGAGGTCCCTTCCAACCTTAAGGATTCTGTGATTCTATGAAGGTGCAAACCCTCATGTGCAAACACAGTTCGCTGGCTGCTCTTGGAGTCCTCAGTTCGCTGGGAACTGGAGAGAGCCCAGTACGGATAAACGGCCCCTTCAAAGCTGGTTAAACAAACAGGCAAGGGCATAAACTCTGCTTTTGTTTTTGGGGCAGTCAGTTGGTTCTGTACTCTGCTTTTGTTTTTGGGGCAGTCAGTTGGTTCTGTAGGCCAACACGAAGCTAGCTACCAGGACCAGCAGAAATACCCTACAGAACAAAATCCCAGCCATTAAACCTTCAGAAGAACAACAGAAGTGGAGGTAAATGCAGAGGACCCAAATGTCATCGCAGTGTTTTAAAAGCTATATCCAAGAAAATACAGTAAGAAACAAAAAGTTGCAAATACCCCATGGTCCAAAATTCACTTGACTGAATAACTCAGTAATGGGACTCGAAACAGACACAAAAAAATTACACAAGTTCAGAACAATAAAGGAAATTCATGGAAGAGAAGAATTAATTAAGGGCTGCTAAGCACAAAGCTGCCTGCTCTGAGGCAGAAAGCTCCACAAACTGAGATGGCTGGAAGCACTTAATGAAGGAGCATCCTCACGTGCTTCTCCTTGCTAAGGCTCTTCCCCAAGCGTCTACTCTTACTTTCATCTACTATGAAAACTGGTTTGGTTTGAACAGTATAACCTACTGAGCTCATAATCTCTATCAGGTTAATTTGTGAAGCAATATTTCTTTTATTTCATCTCTTTGCCTTACTGACGAAGTGTATTCATAAGAGTATTTATTTTTTTCCTCCACTTGTCACAAAAACCTTCTTTCTTCTAATGTATCATATTTCTTTCAGTTTGATTTCTTAAAGCCTGTATCTGCCTTACCAAGACAATGCCTTACCAAGGCCATTCCTTCAGAATATAGTAGGTAATTGAAATAATTAAATTATATCAAGGATTACTTCTTCAGTAATCTATAACGATGACAAGGAAGTAATTTCTCAATTAGATTTTGCTTTACTCAGTAGAATTATAGCTATGAGGTCCTGAGTTGAATTTAAGAAGCAAAAAGCTTCATTCCTGATTTATTAATTTGTAAATAGACTGGTAATTTCTGTCACTGGATTATTTCTTGGAATGACAACTTTAAAAGTTATTTTTTCTTTTTTTCCTTTCTTTTTAATAATGAACTGCCCTTTTTTTCTTTTTTTTTTTTTTTAAAGATTAGCCTGTGGCAAGATGCTGTAATGGTGAGAACGTATTTTTATTCCTTTTATCACATTAAAATGTAATTAAAATGTACTAAGCAGCTTTTTTTAGCATTTTACTTCAGCTTTTGAAAACCATGTTGGTCAAAGTACAGTAACATTTTCACCACAGCAGCTGGATTAATAAGGAAAGAATTTATGTCTTTTAAGACATAAATCAGAAGAAATGAAGGGGGGGAAAAAAAAAAAAAGGAAAGAAAGCATTGTCGTAATGGAAAACAGGAAAAAATATTGGCTGATGTTTGGGACGCAGAAGTTTTATTATAGAGACATAAATTATGATGATGTTGAAACTGGTTAGGCTTTGAAACAACATAGTAATTAATATGGTTTGAGGAGGCCAGCAAAGAAAATAGAAGCGAAGAAAACTGAAACTGATTATCTTATTCTTTTTCCATGGAAACTGGTTTCTGAAGTAGAGAGTCCATTAGGTTAAACGCGAGCAAGTCTGACGAGGTGTCTCCTTTATGGGACAGCCTCTCTGCATCTTCTCCCTCCTGCGCTTCCAACTTGGGAGCTTTTCCCTGAAAGATCTGTTGGAACATCATTAAAAGGGAGACTATGGWTTCTTTTGGTTTTGTTTTTACTCTTTTTATCATAGACTGCTGAGTTTAGAAGCTGAAATGAAGTCACTTGGGATTCAACAGGCTGCTTTCTTAGTGATAAATTGCAGTTTAAAGTCTCAGCSAGCCACAATACCAAATTAGAGAAACTGAAGCAACAATCATCTGAACGTTTTCAAGCTGAGTTGCACAAGTCAGGAAAGCCTCAACTTCACCGTGAGCCCAGTCCTACATTTTGGCATGGGATTTGGGTAGGGCTTCTGCCAGGTTCCTTTAGCAACCAGGTCTTTCAGCGGTGCTGTTGGGAAAGCTCTGAACTAGGGCAGAGCATCCAGTCTATGTTTAAACTTACATTTCAGGTACTTCTTCCCATTGCCTATCTTCTGATCCCCTAAACAAGCCCACTCTATGAAAAACTGATCCTTTCTTTGTCCCATTAAAACCTCATTACAGTGTATAAAACTTCTATGGCTGATTTAGAATGTTAGTACAGATAATGTGTTGCTCTATTCCAATTTGAGCTTTTATAAGACTTCAAATTAAACATACACAGCCACAATTCTGTGCCATACCTCTGTTCTTCCCTGTGGTGGGTGTTTGGCAATGAAAAGATCTGTCGAGGTTTTATTCTAGTGGCCTGGGTTTTGATGGGGAAGGATGCTCTGCTCAGCAGCAAGTTCCCCTCTGTAACTCATAGATCTCAAAACTAACAGTTAATTCCACATTAAGTCAGCAGCAACTTACCTCAAAACTTTGAGCCAGGCAGAATTGCTAAATTTCAGGGATGCAGAGAGTATTCTGAGCTTAGGAAGCCACCAAAACTATCAAAGGAAAGCTCAGAAGCAGAGCCCTGGCCCAGCAGCCAACACGTTAAGGACGGGTTCTGATCTGCAGAGCCTTGGGTTTTGCAAAGCTGCACATCCCATAAA